CGTTTCTTTTTTCCAGGTCTAATGTTGGTTTTCAATTATTTGCAACTGGGCAGCCTGTACCTCTGTACCTGGTTGCAGGATTTCAAAGGTAGACAAACCAGCCTTCAACTGCAGTCTGCCCCTGACACTCTGCCCGGGGGGCAGCGCGCGCAAGTTATTTTCGCATAAAGCACCCGGGCACGTCAATGTAAAGATCATGGCCTAACTTGCGTTGTCCTGAAAACTGGATGTGAAGAACTCCAAACTGGCCTGGAATTTGTCAAAGACAAGCGCGGATATGTCTCGGTTGCCGGAACTTGAAAAGGGGCTTCCCCCTTCCTCAACTGACATAGCTTGCGACGGTCGAAGAACAGATTGCATGGAGCTCGCACATCGAGTGATGTATCTGTATGTGTATATGTATTTGTATGTGAAAATATTCTTATGTATGAACATGAATTACACCAATGGAATAGAAACCCACCCACTTAGAACCAATTGCCCCGCGCAATGGCTGAAACGACTCAAATGTCATGTGCGTTTACACATGCTATATCATGATATATATATATATATCTTTATATATATATATATATGTGTGTGTGTGTATGTATGTATTTTAATCACAAATATGTATCCCCGTGATTATAATATATATATATATATATATATGATTATACACATACATATGTATATATATATATTATGTCTGTCTGTCTGCGTGTCTGCCTGTCTGCATGTCTGCTTGTCTGCATGTCTGCATGTCTGCACGTCCACATGCATGTATGTATGTATGTATGTCTGTATGTATGTATGTATGTATGTATGCATGCGTGCATGCATCAATCAATCAATCAATCAATCAATCAATCAATCAATCAAGCCTTGGCTAGTTCACTTCAGCACTTTTTGGGCAATACCCAGAATAATGAAGTGCTTTCACGAGGATGTTCACTTAATGGACTAACGGACTATGAGAATGCACAATACATAAAGGGTGGTCTAACACCATAATACAACTTACAACCCCCTATATAACCATCAGCCCACATAGATGGAACCAGAACCCATTAAATACCCAACGGGACATAAACTATCATAGTAATTAGCTTATAGCTACATAATTGTATGTATATTGTAACATATTTTATATACTTGATGTATAAATACAAATATGTCCCATATTTATCATTCTGGGTCCGTTCATCCTTGGTTATTTTCACCAATCCTGGGTCCTTGTGAAATACCCCAAGACCTGGGATCCACCAATGTATACTGTAAATGATGTTCCCATGTGTCCCAAACCATAAATTGGATAACAAAACAATGGTTATCACCAAACCGCGTTTCCCAAACATATTCCCATGTTTCCCATGTTTCCCAAACCATAACTAGGTTAGAACATGTCGGAACTATGGTTATTGACCAGCTACGAGCCGGGGGATGAATCTGTTCCCTTGGAATCCAGGGCTCCACGTGGCCATCTTTTGCGCATCCAGCTGTCCATAAGCCGCAGCGTTTCGCGCAGCTTGGCCCCACCAATCCGCCTCGAAACCGCTAACGTTGAATGATAACATAACTGAATGTTGTACTGAATCCCAAGGGTCTATGGTAGATATGTGGTAGATATATGGTAGATATATGGTAGATATATGGTAGATATATGGTAGATATATATATATATGCTAGAACTGCTAGAATATGGTCCCCCAGCAGTGATCGCTGCACCTCCTTCTCCTTCATCGAAGCTAGGGTCACGTAGTCGCGCAACTCCAATCTGGATCGCGTCAGGTGGCGGCAGGTCCACTGCCAACAAAAATTCGAGTGGATTGGGTCGAAAAGAGTGTGGCAATGTGGGATTTCAACCATCAAAATATGGGATTTAGATGGATTTCGCATTGTTTGACCAACAAACGTGGGAAAATTGGTTGTTTCCACAAAAGACACTTGCAAGCGGCAGGAACAACCGAAAAGCGCGCAAGAAACGAACGAGATTGAGAATATTGATATGGACCATGCCTGACAAACAACCGCTGAACACCGGCAATATCTGGAATATGGGTTTGTCATGGTTTGTCTGAAAATAAGGTCCCCCAAAATTGATGGTTCTCGTACTGCTCGCGTGGCCAAAGGGTGGGTATTCCCCATTTTCATACCCTACATGTCGGACCCTTAGAGGACGATCTAAACTTTTTTTTGCTTCGACCGGGTCAATGGCAACAGATTTATTGTGGAATAATGGATCATCAGGGACTATACAACTCTATATACATATATATATATATACATGTGTATATAGATATATATATATATACAACTCTATATTATATATATATACGTACATATATATATATATACATTTATTTCAATTGTTTCACGTGTCTGGGTTACAAGGTTTTTGATTCAGACTTCAAATGTCACAGGAGCAGCACCTCGATGGAGAATGCTGATTCCCATGTAATTCCTAGTAGAGATGGTCGCGGGCTAACTCCGTGGCATGTGGCATGGTAACTTGAAGCCATTGATACTGGTGGTCTGTATCTGTAGAAAGTTTAAACCTTGAAAATCCTTGAAATATCTTCACAATTCAGGCATATTTCAAATCATTCACGGCCCGAAAATTGGATGATTTACGACCCCAAGAACGGCCACTGTCATCTGTAATTCCGCGTCTCATATTTTGACCCATGCCAAACTTTTGACGGTTCCAATATGGTCCAATCAGAAAATGACCGTCTGTGCTTTAAAATTCATAAATCTTGCACATGCAATCATCATTCTTGGACGATTCCTGTAGAATCATCACTTCCACCAAAATTTCATCAGAATTCTTGGATGATCTTGGATGCTTACACATTATTCAAAAAAACTCTCCAATTCCAATTCATACTGATAAAGAGATTTACCCTCCGGAATCAAACATGGTTTGCCGGAAAATCTCCCATGTAAGGTTGATTTTCCCAGCAAACCTTCATGGCTAATCCGAAAAAAACCGCCATGTTTCATTGTCCTATTGTATGTCCATTAAATCCCTATCAAATCCCTATCAAATCCCATTACCTTCTGGTTATTTAACATAGCCATAGAAAATGGCCCATAGAAATAGATGGTTTACCGAACTTAGAAATGGTGATTTTCAATGGCTATGTTAGTCACAACCAGATGGTAAATGACATAAGTCCTGCTCTGGACCCTGGATGACCCTCTGGGCGCCCAACTCCAAGCTCAGATCCCTGCGACGCCGTTTCAGCTCCTGGTTTCGAATTTTGGAAAATGATGGGAACATGTTGATTTAATGGGATTTAATGGGATTTAATGGGATTTAATGGGATTTAATAGGATTTAATGGGATTTAATGGGATTTAATGGGATTTAATGGGATTTAATGGGATTTAATGGGATTTAATGGGATTTAATGGTGGTTTAATGGGATTTAAAATACATCAAAATACTGGATTTTCCGGAATGTTAGTGAAAGAAGGGGGGCGATTCTTAATGCTAGCTATTTGGAATCTGTTGAACATGCTGTATTTCTACGCATATTATTAGCTGGCCTTGCATGAGTGATCTTTTCAGTTTGTGCATGTTCTTTTGGGTTGAGTGATCGGGTGGTGCCCCTCATGTTTGTTGGTTTATAAACGTTCAGTCAGTTCAGTCTATCTACAGAATCTACAGTACCTAGTTACCCTATTTCTATTGGTTGTAAACCAACTTAACGATTCCAAACTGGTGGCACCACCCTGTACAAATCTATACCCAGGGGTAGTGAGGCTTAGCAACTGGGCCAACCTAGACCCACGGCTGGTCATGAGCTGCCGCCCATGTGCCTTGGTGCTTGAACTGAAAAAAATATGTCCATTGAGAGAGATCATTCCATTTCTTGGGTTGAAAACTCACTGCACTAATTGGTATAGTATGTAATTAACATAAATGTATGTGTATATGTGTATTGATATTGATATTGATATTGATATTGATATTGATATTGATATTGATATTGATATTGATATTGATATTGATATATAGCATCTACATATCTGTCAATGACACCATCAGCCAGTTGAGATAGTCAGGCCGGATCACTGATGATCCTATGAACTTTTGACATTCCCAAGTTATATTAGTGTGAAGTCTGTCTGATCTAGCGGCTAGAATAGTGATTTTGTAATTGTGTGATACTGTGTGATATTGTGTGATCTTGTGTGCCGGGGCAAGTACATGATCCCAAAGCCTGGAATACTTGGAATTCAAACAGAACCCAGAAGTGATAGGCAGCAAAATTGCAAAGATGGAAGATGATGGAAGGTTGAAAAGGCAGCAATGCATTTCTGGTTGGTGGTTTCAGCCCATCTGAAAAATATGAGTTCGTCAGTTGGGATGATGACATTCCCAATATATGAAAAAAAATGTTCCAAACCACCAACCGGATTTTGGTTAAACTATTGTACAGTATCTTATTTTGGCCTGACAAGTGCTGGATAAACATGGATGAACTGGCTAGTTGATCACAGTGATATATCATTGTTTACTGAGCAACCCGGAACTGGCCTCCCTCAATGGGCACATAAGTTGCTGGGTGACTTGGTGATGTAGGTCCACTCAAAAATCACCACTTTGCTAATCCCCTACAGTAATATCCTGTAATATCAGTACTGATTGTCGAATCGAAAACAAAAAACAAACATTACCCTCTGGTAAACTAACATAGCTATTGATTGAAAATGGCCATTTATAGTGGATTTTCCCATGAAAAATGGTGATGTTCCATAGCTATTTTGACATAACCAGAGGGCAACCAATGAGATCCATGTCCTCGAGTTCTCCCAAGATGTCGCTCTTTGCCAATTCAATGGTGCGTTCCTGCTACTTCCATGATGGGATGGAGGAAAAACATGTGGATCGATCCATGGATAAAAACATCCCAAATGCCATGGACGGCTGTCATAGGACACAGACACCCATGGGGTTACAACAAAGCCAATTCGTTGTTGGGAGCCAAAACATGTTTTTCGTATGTGGACATACATATTTGGAGTATAGCCTTTACAGCAGCTAATACATACATTCGGCTGTTCATGTAATAACAAATCAACTTCGAGACAGGACGGAGAATGCCGAAATGTGCATGGACATGATGACTAGTCATGAATTATCGCAACCAACTGAATGTGACAAGGGTTGCCTCTATGCAACAAATATGGATGTCGGGTTTTCAATGTGACACCCATGTTTTAAACACCCTGAACTCCCAAAAATGGCTATCATGTATTATGGGCTGGTCACTTTCTAATCGTTCTATCCTATGAAACAATTATCGCCACAACATCTCGGCCCGCACCTCCTCTTCCTGCGCCACCCGCTGCCGTAGTTCCTCCGACACCTCAAGGCGACTCAGAGATCTGAAAATCATATAGCAACCCCTCAAAAACGTAGTTGTTTTCGTGTTTTTTGAGGTAAAATAGTGGGAAAATGAACATGTTGTTGATGTGTTTATTTTTGGATTACTATATAACTATCACCAATCAAATTGAACGTATGTTTTTTGAGTATGGGGTGGTATGAATTTAAATCTTCGCATCCCAGAAAAAGTTGGATTTGTTTTCAAGCTACGAAAAGTGTTGCAAGTTGTTTTGAGTCTATATTCATTTTTTGTCGCTTGGGTACTAGAACTATAACTATCAACAATTAAATTCAACATACAACCAACAAGCAATGGGGATTTTAAACTACTCCCTTCTCCCCGACCAACATAGAACCTGAGGATCGCCAATGTTTGAAGGAAAATTGTCGTAACATGGCAAAATGAGGGAACACAAAAAAATCTCACTGAAATGGGAATGTGTTAGTATCCACTTAACAATGTTTGTTAATTTTGGTTACATTCGATACATGGTACCAAATGGTGAACGCTCAAATGTTCAGGAGAGTCAAAAGCCGGCAATGAAACCGATCCCAAATCGGATGAATGGTCCATTACTTAATCGTCCGTATGATTCTATATGTAAATTTTGGGCCACTGTCCATAGCTCTGTTCAATTGATGGTAACCACTACAAGACCATTATAAAATCACTATGAAAAGCATCATAAATCCACAATAAACTGGTACAGAAATCATAACAGGTTGTATAATGTAAAGACACTACAGATGGTTTAATGATGATTTTAGACCAGAAAATCCTTGAACCATCCCCAAAACTCACATTGATAAACCATCCTTTAAAATGGCAGCTTCCCATGACATTAAAAATTGCATTTCCCAAATAAAACTCATGGCTTTCATGGCATTAAACATGGCATTTCCCATGGATGTCCCTGAAAAACCCATCGGCACCTTCACGTGGAGATACGCGGAGACGGGAGAACATTTGGCTGCAGCAGTACGATAGGCAGCCCTGCGCTGATCACCGGAGTTGAACCAACCATCTATGGCCTTAAAATGCGAATATATATATATATATATATGTATACACATATCTACAGCTACGTCTATATCTACATATATCTACATATATCTACATATATCTACATATACAGTAAATATTATAATATCTCTACACATATATATATATATATGTATATAAATATGTATATAAACATATGTATATAGAAGTATAGATGTACGTATGTATGTGTATATATATATATGTTATAATGGTATCTTATATAGTATTATATGATGGGAATATTTGGAGGATCAGCCCACTTAGCAACTGGTTAGTAATCATATACATAAAGTTGTAAGCCATTTATGGGATAGCCCATGGATATGGGACTTACTAAATGGGATCGCTCTTGACCAACAAAAACATCCAGTTGAACAATGTCTTATCCAAGGAATATATACACGAAAAATGCTCGCATTCCCAATAGAAACGTGGCTTCATCGGAGGCCACGGGTCCACCGTTTGTGCTTTAATTTTCGATTGGACCCGTGGAATTTTCAGTGAAACCTGTCAAGCTGGCCTCGCGGCTATTCAATCCGATTTTCTGTTGCTTCATTGGTTATTCCCACCAAACACATAAAATGGTCTTAAAATCCCCGCAGTTGATGAGATCGTCCTCATTTCTGTTGCTTGTCTCCCAATTCTGCGGCTTTAAATCCCCATTGCAGTTGATGAAGATATCCAGGTTTTGTCGGTAAAAAACAGCCCTCACAAGACTCATAAGGCCTACTCAGTCTCCGGTTGCCGCTGGTCTGTTGGTTGCCGTTGGTCGGCGCTTGCGTGCGCTCCTGCTTGGCGCGAAGGGCCTCTTCTGTTGGGAAGTGTAGGTACAAGGAAGAACTTAACTGAGATGTAATATATATATATATATGTATATCTAATTACATATTATTATATATATATATATGATATAATATATATATATATAATGAAGTGGAACATATTGGAACTATGGTGACTCTCCTGTTCAGTTCTCCCCAAAGTTTCTAGATTTGCAGAGAATACTTGCGTGTGCACATGTGTATAGTTGTGTATGTATAGACATTCTAACCATCTATGTACACCGCTTACCACTTTTTGGGATGACATCCTTTGCGTTCCATGTGTGCAAGTGTATACATATATATATATATACATCATCATATATGTATTTGTCGTATACTTGCGGCATTCTATCATTGTATGAGCCGCCCTCAAAATGTATGGTGTGAGCCAAATTCCAAACTATTAGTCTAACCATGATCGTTGTTTGGTGGGCCTGTCGTTTTACAGTGTTTTCTGCAACTGGTAACATGCATGTATCTCACCCCCATGCAACAACAACATGACACATTTTGCCATTTAATTGGCTGCTGAATCAAGCGACTCCACATGCCTTTTCCTACTGTGGATGGTTGCGAAATCTTGCACCACCTGGGATGGTTAAAACCCTGTAAATAACGGGATAAACCATCTATCAACTGGTGCAGGATTTCTTCCATCCACAGTACCTCCTACCTCAATCCCATAGCCACAGTGTCACTTTGGCAAATCTGAGGTGCCTATTACCCATTAAGGTCGACTCTGAAATTTCTGTGCCTCTCAGAGGGGATCAAATCGAATCACCGTCCCGGAAAAAGGGGCAAAGTTTCACTTTGGAATGGATGCATTTGGCCACTTTGTGGTACTAACATGTACTAACTATCCAAGTGTTGGAACCCTGTCGACTCATACCCATTTACAAAAATCGTCGAAAACCATCGCCAATGTCACCATACCATCTGAAAGGGCGTCCCATAGATCAAACATTTCTATGGCTGGTCTTTGGTATAGGAATTTCCATGGCTATCTCGGCACAAATGAGCAGAATGAAGCACCTCCTTCTACTGTGTATATACTGTATATGGATTTGGTTTCTGAACATCGAGTATCCCAAAGACTCATGGTTTAGACCTCAAGTCTACCCAGGGCCGCTTCATGGGTATTGGGGAAGTCCAATGGGGCAATGATCATTATTCCTGCCCTGACAACGGTGACAACGGGGTGACACAAAACCCCATGGTTCATCAACATCTTCCTCATTGCAAGTGCCAAAACTTGCGTATTCCCCAATTTCTGCACAAACACAAATCACAACAAAACAATTGGATCTATCAAGATCCACATCCCAAATCCAGGACTCTACATCCATATCCAGGTTGTGTATCCCAACAAAAAATCGCCTTTCCCCCGGTCGAAAACCACAGCCGTCCTCCGTTAAGGACCTTCTCATGTCCATGGCCCAGGAGTTGTCCCGCGCCTTGCTCAGTCGGCTTGAGGCCAGGGGAGATGGTTGTGAAACTAGTCCCATGGTTAATACATATATAGGGTACATATACATATATAATTATATATATATATTTACATAGGGTACATATATATATATATATGTATGGTACATGCATGTATATATATATATTATAGAGAGAGAGAGAGGGAGAGCGAGATATAGCTAAGTGTACAATAGGTGCAATCTATGGTTAGTATGATATGTTCAACATAATATGGTTAAGGTATAGAAACTATGGGGCTTCATCCCGACTAATGGCGTTTGATCCATCCTCATATCCAAGTTAGATGAAGTTATATGACGTTATATGGTGGATATGCCCACTTACATGGGTTGTATACGTTCTATGTATCCTCTGGTTACTTAACAGTTACTTGACATAGCTATGGAACATGAACCATGAATAGATCATATAATATGATGGTTTGCCTATCAAAAATGGTCATTTTTCAGTTCGCCACGCGAAATCACCAGACGGCGTAGTTTTGAAGCACTGTAACTCGCCGGTGCACAAAATGGAGAGTTAACGACTTCACAAGGAATTGGAATTCGATATGATTTAACACCGAAGTTGGATTTGACCAGCAAACAAATAGTAAAATGAACGGCAACAGGAAAGCCGCGACGACGCGTCTGATTCTGCCATATGTTTTCCCATCCATTGCGGAGCTTCCTGCATTTTGGGATGAACAAATTCTGGGATGAACAGCTAGCAGAAAACACAACAACTGTGCCATCGTCACAACGTTTCAACCCATCATGGTCTGTCATTTCTCTTGGCTTGTTTGGGGAGAATGGCGAGGTTCAGTGAGCTTCAAAATGCACAGATAACTCTCTCATTCCTCAACTGGTAGTTGGTAGCTGCAAATGATATTACTATTCACATCCATTCACCATGAGTTTGATCATTTGTAGATATCTCCTCCAGTGACATCAAACATGGCTGGAAAATCTTCACAGCATTTCCCAGCCTCAAGGGCGTGGAAGATCGAGCCGATGCGTTTCATCTGGGGGTAGAGATGTTCCCAAATCCTTGGCGCCGGGTGCAGTGGAACCATAATTCTTGCGGCAAAATTTCACCACAGGTGTAGGGATTGTATCCTAATGGCCCAACTTATATGGAGGTTACCATGCTTATGACCACCGATAACCCCAACGGATGTTAAAAAAATATCAGATCTGAGCTGCATTGATTTGTAACACGGATCTTGAATAATTGAAAGATCAACATATGATTATAATATATTATAATATGATCAACAACGGCGGGCGTTCCTGTGCTGTTTTAATATACAACATACAATTTAAATATCCCGATATCCCGATATCAAGAATCCAGAAATCTCCAAGCAGGACAAAACCTGCATTGAAATCTCATGGAATCCGATAGAGATTCCAATAGCAAATATAATGTAATACAAGAAATACCCTCTGGTAAACTAACATAACTATGGAAAATCACAATTTTTAATGAAAAAAAATCACTATAAATGGTGATTTTCCATAGTTATGTTAGTTTACCAGAGGGTATATGACAAGAAATACATCACTCATATTCACTGATGATATCCTGGTTGGTGGTTTCAACCCCTCTGAAAAATATTAGTCCTTCGTCAGTTAGGATGAAATGACATTCCCAATATGATGGGACAGTCATAATCCAGCCATGTTCCAAACCACCAGCCAGACAGGGCACCATGGCCCAGAAGCCGATGATTTAAGCCTATCCCGATATCCAATGATGATTGAAACCACAAAGCAAACTGTGAAAAATGACCAAAAGGTATAGCATATAGATGTATATATATATACATATATGGTGTGTATCTCTATTATATCCCCTATGACAAAGGTCTCCAATATATCCCCATAGATTCTATATCTTAACTTATTAACCTCATTAATTTACATTCATATTTACCATGTATCAAGCCATGGGATATTGATGCACCATGCATGACCTATCCCCCCATGGTCTCCCGACATCTCCAGCACTGGAACCTTTTGGGGATCCAAAGGCTCGTCAAAGGGCTTCCCCTGAGCAGAAACGTCGGAAAACAAATGCTTATGGCTTAAGGATGGGTTAAGGATGGTTAATGGATGTTAATGGATGTTAATGGATGTTCATGGCTATTCATGGTTTGATGATGTTTATTGGTTAATGACTAATGGCTATTAATGATGGGTTAAAATGGTTAAACAAAGGGCTTACTATGGCTTAAGGATGGGCGAATAAATGGTTATGTTCATGGCTATAAATGGTTTGATGATGCTTATTAATTGCTCATGCTAATGGGTATGACAGTTTGATTTTAACCTCTATCAGCTGGGATATGGGACCCCTACCCCCAAAGTCTTTATATTGCCGTAATTGAACAAAGCTACGGAACAAAAAATGTCCATGAATCTATATATATATACATGCATATATATATATTATTACATATGTATATATATATATACATGTATATATATATACATAATTACAATTATACATACATGAATGATTTCCCAGCTATAAACCTCCATTCATAGGATATTTCCCAGCCACGGAAATGATCCCCTCCTGTGCTGCAACGGGAGGCCATCCCTCCGCATCGTGACCTGCTTCTGTGGGGCCGCGATGGCCCGTGAATTCCTGTGGGTTTATCGATGTTTATGGGGGAATTAATATGACTGGTTGGTGGTTTCAATCCCTCTGAAAAATATTAGTCAGTTGGGATGATGAAATTCCCAATATATGATTATGGAAAAATAACAAATGTTCCGAACCACATGTTATCCATCTTATCCATGTTAATTGGATGGTTGTGGATGTGTTATGGGAATTTCTATTCATAGCTCATAACATGATAGAACTAGTTCATGGCGGTTAAATATGGTTTAATGGCGTTTAGAAACCAACATAAGTGGGGGGCCCATCCTGATGCTCTTCACCGGAAAATCACCAAAGGGCGGTTTCATAAGTTGGCAGCACGATCCAGATCATATTCTTGGTTATATCATGATCCCATAAAGTATCCCGTAAACATCATGATATATCCTGATCTTAAAATATTCCATAAATTCCCACAATTATCAGACACCCCATAAACATGCCATAAGATATCTCCAGACTTCATGGAATTCATGGGGTTTCTCTGCATTTCAACGAAGGCCATCGTAGAAACGCGCCTGATTTCTTGTGCAGGTACCATGAGAAGGTGAGGAATGGATCTGCCCTGACCATCACGACGGTCCCCCGGGCTGTCCCATGGCTCCGTGAAATGTGGGGATTATCCAACCAACCAATGAAATAACCGTAGAAAATTTGGTTATGGTATGGTTACAATCCATTTTTTGGACTGGTTATTTTATTGGGTTTTTTTGGACTGGGGTATGCTATTACAATCACCATGTGGTATGGTTTTGGGGATCTATTATTGATTGGGTTTAAACCACATGATTAGGTGAACGGACTCTTTTATGGTGATCGTGGCATAACTCTAGGCACGGGTGCGATAATTCACCAATGTTACCACAATTCCTGCAAAAATTCTCTGTACCATTCCACCTATACCATTCGTGGAATAAATTCAAATACTATGATTTTCGTACATTTGGAGTAATGATTAGGGATTTGGACGATTTTTCGAATTTGGCCCATAGCCATGTGAGAAATCAAATAGGTTTACCCTACCAGTTGGTGATGATCGTTACCACCCATAAAAAAGTGTCGTGATGTTGGGGATTTTTATTTTTGGGTTTACCACATGTTGTTTATGTTTGGGCCACTTTACCGAGCAGTGGTTTTCCAAGTACCGAGCACTAAGATTTGTAAGGGTATCGATCAGTATCTAATGTGAAGCCAACGATCCCAGTTGCAGAGTTCAGTGGAAGTCCAACGTCAAGCAGCTCCAAACAGCAAAAATCACCAAAGCCAGTAACCAGATTAACCAGGAAAAACGTTGATCTCAGGTTTTTCTGGGACTCAGTAATTACCCTGTATTTATCAACACGCCGTCGTTGATGGAGTCCACCTTGATGATATTTGACACCTATCATATTCAACCAACGAATTAATTGTCTTAATCAGGTAACTAAGATATATCAAGATTAGTTTAACAGTTAATAAGTGCAGTAAGTATATCAATCACGTTTGATTTTGTGACTCAATGCTTCGGTCCCAAAACGTTGCACTCAAGTCTGAGGACCAGACAGGGCTGATGGGTCATACCGCCTCAGATTCCCACATTCTAGCGCCAAGGCTATGACCATTGAAAAAGCTGTTGCATACCCTCTGGTAAACTAACATAGCTATTGAAAATGGCCCGTTTATAGTGGATTTACCCATTAAACATGGTGATTTTCCATAGTTACGTTAGTTTACCAGAGGGTACAATTGCTCTTTTGCAAAACCCACCCCGTGTTTGTTGACAAAAATCAAAGTTTGTACTGTAATGTACTGGATATTTTTAGCCATCGATTAAACTATACAAATCCCCATGGATTTTCGGGTCAAATCAATCCCGGTATGTCTTGCTGGTGCTTAGTAAGGAATGAGGGAATGATCTATAGTACCCACTAGTAATCATCCCATTCCCCCATTCCCTACTAAGCACCCAGTAAGTATTTTGGACATCAAATTCGCCCAGATCCCAGACTGCAGGCAGCCGAAAACTCTTTTCGCTGCAGGTTTTCGCTGCAAGTGCTTCGTTCTCCTGCAGCACGCTGGAGATCCTGCATGGAAGCGGTGAACCCATGGCTTTTTTGGGGGGGTTGTACCATAAAATGGTCGGGAAAATGGTGGCTCAATCATCAACTTGATGGGATTCTTGATGGGATATGAATGGAAAAAATGATATCTAACCAAGTCAAGATGTTTTTTTTGTGTCCGCAAATGGGATACACCATGATATACTGTACCTAAGTTTGGGGATGCAAAGGGATCGATTCTGGTAAAGCTGTGAATATGGAGCCCCCAATGGATGTTCGTAGGTCCCTTTCGGTTTGTCTTATCCCCACAACCTGATGGACACTTGTTTTATCCCAATTCTGATGGGTAAAATCAACATCAGTAGAAGGGTCCTTGAAAAATGCCAGTTTATTTCCAGAGTTGGTTTACCAACATTTTGCTGCTGCACCATGTTTGCTCCTTACAACCTTGAGGGTTGATACTTACCTTCCAGTGAATGGTTGCATAGACCCTGAAACCTGAAAATCATCCATGTTCAATGGAAACGAATCTTCCATCACCCCAAACATGGCAGCTTCTATGTTCATGATTGTTAATGGCTTTCTGTAAAGAAACATTTACCAGAAACAGCGCCATGGATTTCCTGTAGACCATCCCCACCGCTTAAGGAGCTGACTGAGCACGACAGATCTTCAGCTCAGTCTCCATTCGCGCGAGCTCGTCATTCGTCCCTGGCTGTGTTCCACCAAACGGCTGCGTGTCAAAAATGGGGTATGTTTCACCCCCTGAAATGACCATTTTCACGGGAACATGATGATGAAACAGTGGATGGAATGGGGTACCGAAATTTCAGACACACCCGGGTTGATATGAGGGAAACATTACACTTCAAGCCACGGTTTTTACCATTAAATATAGGGGGTTCAACTTGAGCCACTTCCTGGGAACATGTGACTACAGTTGATTGATGTTGATTGTATGGACCCCCAAGATCTGGCCGAAATTCAGACAATATGTCAGTTGTGTGTCGGTCATATGTCATATATATTCATATATGTCATATGTAAGTTATAAGTTATATGAGTAGAATATTATCAGTTGATATCAGTTGCATGTCGCTGGTCGGAATCCGCTCTTGGATGGTGTTTTCACGTGCCAAGAAAACATCATAAACCTCCAAAATAGGGGACCATTAACCACCATTAACCATCATTAACATTCATTAACCATCATTAACCATGGTTAAACCCATCATTTTTCACTGCTTGGGGGATGGTTTAGATCAACAGTCAACCATTGCTGCTATGGATGGGTCCATGATGGTCCATCATCCCTTGGGGGGTTATAAATCCAACCAAGGGTTATTTGCGAACTGGAAAATGGCCCGTAGATGAGGAAAACCTAGAAAGGTTATATATGTTTTTTTTGATGTTCTTTTTGGAAAACTGCTACAGGGAAGCGACAATGTCAAACACACTTCCCCAAGGCACAAGGATTTTTTCCTAAAACAGCTACGACTTTGTCAGATGCCTGTAGTTTACCAGATATGCCCAATGAAGCACAAATTGGGGATGTCGTAAACCCTATGATAAATCTCCCATTGGGGATGCTTCATGCCGACATGTACCACACCAACAAAGTGCAGGTCAGAATCTCTCATGTGGAACCTTGGAAAACTCAATTCGTAGTTCCTTTTCCCATCTATCTATATATATATATATGTATAATAGGGAACATGGATACCCATAGCTACTGAGTTCCCACCATTCAACATCAGATAGTACAAAATATCAATTTCAGATGATGAATGGGAGCTAAGTAGCTATGGGTACGGCAGGAATGTTGGGGTCGACAAGGCGAGGCCCCCTTTGTTGGTTTATAAACCCCATCAACTAGTAACTAATTCGTTATGTTCCCCATAAACCCAAACGAATTCAGCAAGGCCAAGTGATGTGCGTCAACTTCGCTATCCTAAACAGGGACTGTACCAATTCTATGATTACTATCCATTACCAGCCCCCAACTTCCGCCGCGCCTTCCTGCTTCAGCACAGCCTGCAACAGCGCTGCCTGGGTGTTCCCATCCGCTCGCGCCTTCGCAAAACGCGGTGCTGATGGCAGGGTGAATGGTGGTTGAACCCCATCTCATTCCAGCTAGGGGAAGCACCACATATTTGAAACCACAGTAACATTAGCATCGCCTCTATCCCCAATGTTCCTGGTGAGGAAGCGTTGATGATATCTCCAATTATTGTTTTTTGCTCCCGTCTTTTGCTGGTATCAGCCTGATCAATGTGGGCCCCCCCCAAATATACAGTAAGTTGGGTTATAACATGTTATAACATGTTATAACCCCATGAACAATAGTTACTTAAGTACCACAAACCATAGTTCTTGGAGTTATGTCAAAAGGCACCAACTTATCGATTTCGTTTACGAAAACCCCACGTATTTTGTACGTGGTCATCACTGCCCATCCTATATAAACCAGCTGATGTGGTTCCATGGTGAGGTCATACCCTCTGGAAAACATACAAAAAACTATGGAAAATCACCATCTTTCATAGGTAAATCAACCATAAATGGGTTATTTTCTATAGCTATGCTTTAAACAACCAGATGGATTGTAGCTGCATCGTATATTATACTCGGTCTATCGCCAAACTAGAAATATGATATTCCCCGAGTTTGTTCCTCGTACATCCCCATGGTGTATCCACATTTATGTATATAAACACATCTAACAAACATATATATATGTATATATGTAACATGTATCCCATTTACCACACTATTCATTCCATAAATTTCAGATGATCTTGGACTTGCTTAAGGACCCCCTTCAAAAAAAATCTACCGTCGATTCCCCCCAAAAAAAGGTGGGTTTCGCGGCGTCCAATCGAAAAATCCAAAGTCCCTACGGGACAGTCATCCAAGCATCATCAATCTATTGGTAAATTGTAACCATAGTGACTGGTTGGTGGTATACCTACCCCTCTGAAAAATATGAAAGTCAATGGAAAGGATGACATCCCATATATTATGGAAAAGAAAAAATGTTTGAAACCACCAACCAGGTGATAATAGATAACCACTATTGAGTGAGTCTCCCATCACTATTCTAATAAACCATAGGATTCTAATCTGGGTAAATTATAATATTTCACTGACCTAAAATGTTGGGCCATTTGGGGATGATTTCCCAAAAATTAACCATGATGAAAAAGGGTTCGGTCGCGACGTGAGGTCGTTTTTTTTTCCCAGATCAATCATAAATGGAGGAGTTTCCATTGCAACCTTTGATGTTCATTGGTCTTCCAATGGGTCCCTAGATGTTCCTATCAAGGGTACCACGTTGATATGTTGGACCATGTTCCTATCATGGTTCAATGCTCCCCGGTCGAACACAACGAGCGTAGATCCAGTACTAAACCAGGGTTTCCAACATATCCAACAACAACGTTAGCGGCTCTGCTTGTTATCCACACATCCGAGACAGCGTTCAAATCTTGAACTCACTCACCACCACACATTGAATCACCCCATGCAACTCGCGAGCTGTCCGACAGGACCGCGGCAAATGCGCGCTCAGTGCCCTCAATCTGCTGCACATTCTGCAGCTGATCTTTAACTTCAGAGCTGTCGCCACCAAAATCAGAATCGCCCCTAGTTGGGCCCCAAGTCACGACTGATCCATCTGCCAGGATCGCCGCAAATGCACCGTCAGTGGCCTCAATCTGCTTGACATTCCTGAGTTGATCTTCGACTGCAGAGCTGTCACTGCCATAGTCTGGATCGCCCCACATAACGACAAAACCATCTGACAGGATTGCAGCAAACGCAGAACATGTGGCCTGGACCCGCTCCAGAGCTATCACCACCCTCATCTGGGTTGCCCCACATCACAACCGAGCCATTATCCAATATGGTAGCAAAGGCACCACTTGTAGATTGAACATGCTGGACCCTCCGAAGCTTGTGTTGAACTTTGGAGCTATCACCACTTTCATCTGGATCGCCCCAAGTCACCACTGATCAATCTGCGAGGATGGCAGCAAACGCAAAACTTGTAGCTCGAATCTGCTGGACACTCCTGAGCTGATGTTGGATTGCAGAGCTATTGGCACCACAATCCTCAGGACCTACGAGGCCCCAAGTCACCACTGATCCATCTGCCAGGATCGCCGCAAATGCACCGTCATTGGCCTCAATCTGCTTGACATTCCTGAGTTGATCTTCGACTGCAGAGCTGTCACTGCCATAGTCTGGATCGCCCCACGTAACGACAGAACCATCTGACAGGATTGCAGCAAACGCAGAACATGTGGCCTGGACCTGCTGCACAGTCCTGAGCTAATCGCGGGCTCCAGCGCTATCGCCACCGCACTTTGGATTGCCCCACGTCAGAACTGAGCCATCTTCCAGGATGGCAGCAAAGGCCCCAGCTAGGAACTCGGGGTCAGTCGGCGGCGCTGGTCAAGCCGATCTAGTGCCCTGGACCAGCTGAACACTTCCAAGGTCCTGGATTGCAGAGCAATTGCAGCTGAACTTGTCGTGGCCCCAGGTAACGATTTGATCGCCTCCATCAGACCACAATGCAAAAGCCACTGCTGTTGCGGCTAACTTTCCCTTCTGTACAACTGCAGTCAGGTGGTCTCCATCTGACACCCCTGCAAGCTTCGAGTGATTTCCCAGGATCTTTTAGGACAAATCCTTCACCAGTGACAAGACTCAGGGAGCTTTTTCCAAGAGTTTTCTGGGCCAAACGTTTCAAGTCCCCTACTTTGCGGGACTTTTCCAGTTCAAGTTTCTTTCGTTTATTTCCGCCAAGTGGGGCCACAGTTACTTGAAGCGTCTATGAAAAACAATGACAAATCGAAGCTGAACAATTGCAATACATCTCGAGCCAAATCAAGCAGTACGTTCCATTAAACTGTGACGTTCCACTATGTTTTTGCTTACAGTAATTCACAAATGTTTGGTCATTTGGGGATCATTCCCCTTATCATCGCTAATCCTAATCATCAGAGTGACGTTGCAGTGACCAGAGGGTAAGTTCCTAAGTCAAAAAAAACCCATTGAACTCCCAAAAAACCCATAAAATCCCATCAAAATGTCTAGAAAATCCCATGAAATGCTGTCATAACATGTCCATTAGATATCTCACTCAATGTCCATAAATGTCGCGCCTGCCGCCGCTGTGCGATGCCCTGGCTCAGGGTGGCATTCTGGGCCACTTGCACCTGGTTTGAAAAATGGCACCGTTAGGCCGGACTTTTCCAATGGGATTGGAAAAATAGCCTCTATAGTGCCTATAGTGCCTATAGTGCCTATAGTGCCTATAGTGCCTATATGTGGTATGGTATAATTATGTACAACATTGTACAACTATATGTATCTATATGTGGTATGGTATAATTATGTACAACTATATAAATGTAAAACTATGGTATAGTTACGGTATAGCTATTGGATGTTCAGATGAGATTGTGGATATAGTAAAACTATATGTATGCAACTTTTTGATTGGTGTCCCAAGTGGAAAAGGTCATGTGTTGTTTGGCAATATCATCCCATCAGGGATGAGCGCAAAAGTGAGTGACATGGAGTGACCCGAAATATGACGTGGGGCAGGACTAGGGTGAAATATGAGTCGCTACGAGTTGATAATGGTGATGAATAGCTATTATATAATGGCTATCACTGGTTATGAATGGTTATTGATGGGTATAACTATGGGAAGCTTGCAATTTTAGCCTCCATAAGTTGGGATATGGGGCCCTTACAACTACGGTAACTACATTTAAATATACGGATTTTTAAACATACGAACAGGTATTTTAGACTATGGGAATGTTTTCCTTGGCCCGCCCAGCCATTTAAACATACGGAATCCAATTCATTTAAACAGACCGGGGGCCTCGCGGTCCCCGCCCTCCATATTTAAATGTCGAAAAAATTACCTATGCAGTTCGAAATAGAAAGATAGTGGAACCACTGCCCGGTGGAAATCCATGGAACATTAATATTTTCACATATCATGGAACATATCAAATTACTATGCGAAAAATCCATGGAAAATCCACTATATGTAATTTATATATTGTAGAACATATATATATAATTATATATATATGAGTCCATCAAAATGCGTAACTCGTCCGCTCTTCGACTCGATGGGCGAGTTGGTTGAAAGAAGTGGTGAGTGGGTTGTTTTTTAATGCATGAAAAAACGGCACGTGGGGTACTAGCTCGTATATACGTTGACTGGTTAGTACATTAAAATTATATTATTCAAGTGGGTTATTATCCATTCTATATCCATTCTATATTCAGTTATGTTTGGGGTTCCGTGGGGTTACTAAGCAGCTAAGTTAGTCCATGGATCATAAGAGTGTCCTTTGGCAAGCCAACCTTTTCTTGACAGGTGAGATTCCTAGAGGCTGTGACATGGTAAAATGGATGGTCATGACCCCTGAAAATTACAGTATGATGAGGATATAGTACAGAATATCTTGGCGAATATGTGGACAGAAGTAGCACTTTAATGAAGATGACAGAAATAAATAAGAGATGGCCAAAAATTGGTCGGCCGCTCACAATTTTGAAATCATTACCATGTTGGTCAGTGATTGGCGAAACAAAACCATGTTCAACGACTGGACCAGCAGTGATACCAACAAACTTTCCCTGCTGTTGGTTTGGTTGCCAAATACCCTGTTGGTGATAAACACCCACTGTTGGTTAGGAATGAATTCTGGCGTTTCTTGGGTACATCATGTTGCGGCAACATCCTAACTTTCGCTAGTGACATCAGGTAAAACTCCATCGGAGTCCTTAGATCTGTGGCTCCAACCTCTTGTCTTCTGGCAAAAAAGTCCAATAGCTTCTAGCTGGGCATGGAATATTCCTACACTAATGTAAAAACAGTCAGACATTCACCATGTATACTATACTACCTAAAAATTGAACATCTATACCAAACAAAGCAACCCGCAAAAAAAAAACAAACGATTCACCAAATTTCATCCATTTCCCATGTGTTTTATCTATCTATGAGCGGTATATTTATTTCCCACAATTTTACCTCTATATGGAGGTTTCCTAAGTCATGGGGGTACCCCGAAATCATCCATTTTAATAGGATTTTCCATTATAAACCATCCAGCTATTGGGTACCCCCATTTATGGAAATCCCCGATATTAAAAAATGAGCTCTAAAAACTTCCGTATCCCATCATATGAAATTCTGCTTGGTATGTAAATACCCTCTACTGTATGGGTTTTCATGACCCAGCTAAAATAGCTTTACAAAAATCAACTAAGATGACTTGCCAAGCTAGAAACCTACATTTATAGATGATTTCCCAGCCATGTTTGATGACACCGGAGGGTAGCTTGACAAAATCATCAGTGATTTTTTGGGGTGCTGTTCCACTAATAAGTTGGTTAGTTCTAATCATAGTAGTGGGGGCGCCATATCCCAACTTATGGAGGTCATTAGATTCCACTATACCCATTTTTCACCCCAACTGCACATAAATTGCCATTATATAAATCCCTAGTAAATCCCAATTAAACCCCTTGAATCCCTATGAAATCCTGCTGAAACCCATTGAATATTCATTAAATCTCCAACTGCATAAGTCACCCCCATCCTGCACCACCAGTCCTTGGTCCCTCCCGCCTGGCACTTCTGTCGCAGCTCCAGTACTTCCCCCTTGAGCCTGGATCCGACATGGAGAACAACGGGGAGAAGTTGCCCAAAAAACCTGAGATTTTCAATGGATTTCAATGGGGTTCCATGGGATTTCAATGGATTCAAGCAAGGAAAGGGAAGAATTTTAGCAACAACAAATTGAATTTCGGCTTTTGAAAGTCGGATTCCACTTGCAAAAAATAGGGAGGTCAACCTATTTTAGTGATCTGCATGGAATGACTTTGGGCATCATGTGTACTGGGGTCTCCAATCTCAAAAGGGTATACGTCGACGTACTGAGGTCCCCAAAGCCCAGAGAATTTTGATGTACTGGATGTACAACTAGTAGCTACGAAGGTCTCGGCGACTTTGGGATGTACAAAGTGTCCAAAACCTTTGAAAACCATCATTTACCGGAACCACATAAGTGTCGCATAAGATGGGTGCGTACCTTTCATCCGTATCAATAATTGGAGAGGCCATGCAAGATAAAGCAAAGGCCCCAAACATATGCTGAGTTGGTGGTTCACCCCAGTTAGAAAGTGGATTAGTTCACCCCAGTTGGAAGTGGACTAAGCCTACTTACCGTGCTAGATTCATATTTAACTTATACCCTCTGGCAATGTAACGTAGCTATGAAATCACCATGATTTTAAATAGGTAAATCATCATGTTCATCATCTATTTCTTAGGGCCATGGCTTCCATAGCTAAATAACCAAAGAGTAATAGTAATCCTGGAATGCCACTATTCATCACTATTAATTAATGGATATTCATATTCATATTTACCATTCTTACATATTATTACGGTATATCCCGTGACAAAATCTCATTCGAATCGGCAGTTCTCTATCCCCTGTTGCGGCACCCGTTGGATCGCCTGGAATTCTCCGCTTGGATCGCCTCTAAACTCTTCTGCTGCCGTTCAACTCCCTGCCTTTGGCGCGGACCCGTACGTCATGCCTGGGAAGAACCTCCATGGTGGGCCCTGGGGATGCCCAACATCCGCCGTCCCCATGGTCACCATGAAAAAGGGAGGTGTTTCCCCAGGTACAACAGGGTTTCCCCCCTGAAAAACTACACCACATTCCCATCCAAACCCTGGCCCGGCACCGTAGGGAGTCCATACTGCGACGCTGCTTGTTGAGCTCCTGCGATGAGAAGCATATCCGATGACCGATGAGCCGATGACCAATAGCCGAGTGTGAGGTCGATATCTGCCAGGTTGTCAAGTGGAGTGCATCGCAGCTGTTCTGACGAATATAATTATTCTATTCATCCGATCATCCCATGTCAATTCCAATCTAATAATGACTATTAGATGATATTGGATGTATTGTTCTATTCACATCTATATATATATGCTCATCACAACAAAAAAACAATGAAACAATCTATCACATAAGTGTCTTGCAACCGTTCATCATAGAAGCTGCCGGAGGCCAAAATGTAATTCTTTAGGTGCTTGATGAGAGGTACCTTGAGGAGGCATTACATGACCGTTTGGGAGAAGTCTTAGATTAGATCTTTGACCTGAAGGTGGACAGAAACGAGAGCACTGCAGTTTTCACAGGCAAAGTTAGGTCAGCGTTCTTAGCAGCTGAGGCAGAAGGAATCGTTTTTTTGGTAACCAAGGGCTACATGGTTGCTAAGCTGATGCTAAAATGAAAGGCAATGGTGTTCAATGGATATCATGGCAATCCTGAGGACAATGAGATCACAAACCATCCACTCTCTCACTCTCTCTCTCTCTCTCTCACACGCGGGAAACCCAATGCGATAATCCATCCCTACCATCATTTTATGGCTGGTAAGAATCATCCCAAATGGGAAGTTTCTTTTGTTGGGTTTCCCACATTCCCAAATGGGAAACTTAATGAATATCTGGGAATTTCCGCCCAGAAAAACGACACATTTTTACGCAAAGTAGAGTAAGATCAGCCCAAAAGGTACGAAATCCAAAATTGACCACAGTAGTCAAAAAAATGACCATTTCCAGCTCCTTCACAAGAAATCCGCCCTAAGGGCAGAAATTTTACAAACGGACAATAAATCATTTGGTGTCCTTTCGAAGATCCAGGTATGCAGATATGAACCCAACTGACCAGTAGATAAAGGACATCTATGGCACATCCAAACATATTTCGGTCCAAAAAATCCCAATGGTTTGATCATCTCAGGATCTGCGTCTCAGTTTTCATTTCCATATGCTGCAGATAGTTTGAAAATGTTTGAAGTAAATCATGGGTCACTTCGGCAACACCCGGCTTCCGAAAACGAGTTTCTACGCTATATGTAACCAGTTCCACTTCGGTTAAGTCTGCAGTTGTTCATGGTCAAATCATGTTTTGCCGCTTCAAAATCGCCGCGCCCCTTGGTAAAATCCCAATGTGTCCGTGATGAACGCGCAATTTCTGTTGGTGAAAATTATCACTTTCCCTCGTCAAATCTGCCTTTTGTACCCTTTTGTTGGTCAAATCCAAATGTTGTCCACTTAAATTCGTTATATCCAAATGTTCTTGCTTAAATCCCCGTTACAGTTAAATTGTGTTTTGCTTAAGTCCCCAAAATGTTCTGCTTAAATCCAAATGTGTTTTTATAGACCTTTATTATTTTGTATTTGGCATCAAAGGTGGCAATTGAAAATCTCGCATTTAGTTTGATGATTTTCCCAGCTACAATAATTTGTTTTTGGATTTCCCAGCCACGTTTGATGACACTGAAGTGTAAGAACCCCCGTTGCTGGACAATTGGTTTCGTCTGAAAATGGTGGCATCCCAACTCCATTGGTTATAGTCTACATAACCATCATTTTTGTCCCATTCAATGGCCAATAAATGGGGGTACATGGGGGTATACTATATGGAATTTATATGGTATCCCATTTTCAGACCCAGCGCTCCTGGTATCCCGTTTCCAGGGTCAGTTGCATCTCATGCAGCTGAGTGGTTTCTTGAAGCAACGCCTCCACTGCGACACATCCCAAGGGGTTGGGCCGTGGAGTTTTTGGCGTGTTTTTTCTTGGGGTCTAAAGGGACTTCAACGGGATTCACCATCGAACATATGTAGTTTCAATATGGTTCAATACGACCTAACTGGATTTTGAGAAGAGTATGGGTCAAAATTATTGAGCATCCAAAAATATCCAAATGATGTTTAATGAGTTGAGCGATCGGAACCAACAACGAAGGGATTTAAACAATGAAACCAATGAAAACCATGATGTTTGATCATATTTAATCCAAGGGATATGACCGAAGGAAGTTTAGAAGTCAAACTTCCGACAATATGGACAGATGAAAAGCAGAGTAGGGCAGAGGCAGAGAGAAGAGAAAGATTAGAAGAGAGAAGAGTAGAAGAGAAAGAGTCAGAAGAAAGAAGATGCAGATGCGCGAAAAGGTAGGAAAGTCGCGAAACACTGTGTTTTTCAAATGATTTGTGGCTCCGGAGAGTCGAAAAGTAGCCTCGCTAAAGCGGCGGGTGCGGAGCCAGCTGGCCAGATGAGAGATGAAAAATTGCACGCCGTTGTGGCGCGAAGCACATTTCGAAGTGAAAAGGTACAAACCACACCATGGTCGGACCACTTTTGGAAGTTGAGATGTCGAAAAAGTGCACGCCGTTGTGGCGCGAAGCACATTTCCAATTCAAAATGTACAAAACACCACATGTTCGCGCCACTCTTGGAAGTTCGGATGTTGAAAAAGTGCACGCCGTTGTGGCACGAAGCACATTTCGAAGTCAAAATGTACAAAACACTAGGGGTTCGGACCACTTTTGGAGGTTCAGATGTCGCTTCGCCGCTTCGCTTCACTACACTACACTACGTTACATTACACCACACTCCACTATACTACACTACATTACACTACACTACACTCCACAACACTACAACTACAACTACACAACTAGACTACACTCCACTACACTCCACTACATTCAATTTCACTACACTACATTACACTACACTACGCTCCACTACACTACACTACATTAAATTACACTACACTCCACTAAACTACATCACACTACACAACGCTCCACAACACTACAACTACAACTACACAACTACACTCCACTACACTCCGCTACACTAAATTACACTACACTACACTACATTACACTACACTACACTACACTACATTCCACTACACTCCACTACACTACACTACATTACACTACACTACAATACACTGAATGACACTGCACCACAGATAGACAGGTAGACAGATAGACAGATAGACAGATAGACAGATAGACAGATAGACAGATAAACAGATAGACAGATAGACAGATAGATAGATAGATAGACAGGTAGACAGCTAGACAGATAGACAGATGAAAGAGAGAGAGAGAGAGATAGATAGATAGATAGATAAATAGATAGTTAGATAGATAGATAGGTAGATAGGTAGATAGGTAATTAGATGAAAGAGAGATAGATAGCTAGATAGATAGATAGATAAATGGATAGATAGATACATAGAAGATAGATAGGTAGGTAGATAGTCAGAGAAAGAGAGAGACAGAGAGGAGACCTCAAGCACCTTTCGGTCCATCAGTGGATTCGCTTTGCCATCCCTGATTCACAACAACCAACCTCTCCTATAGGTCTCCTATTTTTGAAACTTCCGCCACCGCCTTGTGCGGTACTACTGGTATGAATGGTTATCCCGCAACCCGCTAAGAGGCACATTCTTAGTATTGCCCCCTTCTCAGCGTCACTTTCCATTGTTCGTGGGTCTCGGTGAGTCAGGGGACTACTGAATTGCAGGCAGTCAACACAGAATTTGCGCATTCGTCCCTACAATGTGGGGCGCCCTAGATAGCTCAGTTGATCTATACATGAAATCCGCCGACCCCTGCCGTTGCCATTGCAGGGGGAGGCGCCGAGACAGCGAAGCATCATCAGCGACCTGCTCTCCTTCATTGGCAAGCAGTTCACGAGCTGACAGCACGTCGTATTTGTAGCTGGCCCATGCTGGCCCCACCCGAGAACGCACGATCCGTCCCTCACTTGCCTGCTGCTTCAGTGTGGTGGAACAAACATTTTGGAGGCTTGCAGCTGGCCTTTGAAGCTTGGCTGACGGCTCGTATAGGGTTTGGTTCTAAATGTTTCAAAGCGAGCAAATGAGCCATGACCAGCTACCCTTCGAAGGCGTAAAATTTGGAGGCTTGTAGCTGGCCTTTGAAGGCTGACGGCTCGTATAGGGTTTGGTTCTAAGTGTTTCAAAGCGAGCAAATGAGCCCCGACCAGCTACCCTTCGAAGGCTTGCGTTTTGGAGGCGTGTAGCTGGCCTTTGAAGGCTGGCTGACGGCTCGTATAGGGTTTGGACCTAAATTTTTCAAAGCGAGCAAATGAGCCACGACCAGCTACCCTTCGAAGACATGCGTTTTGGAGGCTTGTAGCGGGCCTTTGAAGGGTGGCTGACAGCTCATACAGGGTTTGGTTCTAAATGTTTCAAAGCGAGCAAATGAGCCACGACCAGCTACCCTTCGAAGGCATGCGTTTTGGAGGCTTGTAGCTGGCCTTTGAAGGTTGGCTGACGGCTCGTATAGGGTTTGGTTCTAAATGTTTCAAAGCGAGCAAATGAGCCACGATCAGCTACCCTTCGAAGGCGTGCGTTTTGGAGGCTTGTAGCTGGCCTTTGAAGGCTGGCTGACGGCTCGTATAGGGTTTGGTTCTAAATGTTTCAAAGCGGGCAAATGAGCCACGGCCAGCATCGCTTCGAAGGCCATATCCGTCCCTCTCTACCATGCTGTTTCAGTGTGGCGGAACGTTCGTTTATAGGGTTTGGTTCTAAACGCGTTTCAAAGCGAGCATATGCGCCACGACGAGCTGCCATTCGATCGCACGATCCGTCCCACCATGCTGCTTCGTGTGGCCGAACGTGCAATTTGGAAGCTTTCACTGGCACGCTAGCGGCTTGTATAGGGTTTGGTTCAAAATGCGTTTCAGAGCGAGCAAATGCGCCACGACCAGCTGGGGGCTTGTAGCTGGCCTTTGAAAGTTGGCTGACGGCTCGTATAGGGTTTGGTTCTATGTGCGTTTCAAAGCGAGCACGATCCGTCCCTCACTGCCATGCTGTTTCAGTGTGGCGAACGTACGTTTTGGAGGCTTGTAGCTGGCCTGTGAGAAGCTTGGCTGAAGGCTCGTATAGGGTTTGGTTCTTTATGCGTTTCAAAGCGAGCACATGCGCCACGACCAGCTGCCCTTCGAAGGCACGATCTGTATCTGTCCCTGACTGCCATGCTGTTTCAGTGTGGTGGAACATGCGTTTTCGAAGTTTTCTCTGGCATGCTGATTCAGTGTGGCGGAATGTACGTTTTGGAGGCTTGTAGCTGGCCTTTGAAGCTTGGCTAACGGTTCGTATAGGGTTTGGTTCTGGTTCTATAGTTCTATATGCGTTTCAAAGCGAGCAAATGAGCCACGGTGAGACGGCTCGTATATCGGGTTTGGTTCTATGCGTTTCAGAGCCATGCCTTGCCGATGTTGATTGGGAGTCCTAGGGCCCCTTTTTTTGGTAACTTTCCCTTACAAAACTCATGTCGTGAAATTTTTGGAGCACCATAGCCTGCACCATACTGCTTCCAGCATGTTACATGTTTTCATACACACAGGAGGAAGGCAGGGCGGGCCGATAAATACAGGGAATGGTGTTGGATTTTTGAACACCAGATACGGTATGTAAAATTTTGTCAGGATACAACCACTGTCAAAAACATTATTTCACCCACAGCTTGTTGTGGTTTGAAACGTTTTATTCATGCCCAGTTTGTTTGGTACCTGCTGTTTTGTGAGTGGTTATACCCTCACACGTTTTGAGCTGCAAAATTGCAATTTTACACCAGTTTTGAAAAGCTCTTCCTTCCCAAATTGTGGTTTCACACCAGTTTTGATCATGTTTTGCATGTGAACTCTTGATTCCACAGCAATTTTCACCAGTTTTCACAAGGTTTGGGATCTGAAACTATGATTTTACACCAGTTTTTGCACTTTTTTGGCTCCAATTTACCGACCCCCCCTTGGGCAAACTGGAAAATTGTTTTATTTTATTTTGGAAACACATATGACCTTTGTTGAATAGATAGGAATGAATATATATATATATATACTGTGTAAATACGTATGCATATTTAGAAATATTTGTTTGGTGTATTATTCCACATGTAGTTCAATATATTTGTCTTATATATATATATGCAATATATCAATATTTTCGATATTTTTCAAAATATTTGAATATAAATAAATTTCTATATCTATTTCAAAAAATATTTGTAAATTCTTACACGCATACACACTTAGATTTTTCTATTTATCGATTTTCTGTACATGTAGATTTTCTGGTAAAAACATATGTTTTTGCAATTTCACAGTTTTCATGCCGGCATATATATATATAATCCCCGTGTGGTGCTCCCTTTAGGGTTTGGACATGGATTTTATCTAGGGGAACTGGATGAAAACCAGGTTCCAACCCAAAATTTGAGGCCTAATAAAAAATTGTACTGAGGTTACATGAGGGGATAGGTTTTGGGGTCAAGCCTAATTTTTTATCTGCGTTTATTAATTTTTAACCGTGCCCTGTAGATGAAAACCCTAGCACTGAGGTGCATATAAAAAACAACCTTAGACCGTGCACCCTGGATAAAAACCAGACCATTGAGGTACATAGCCTGGCAAAAGCTTCGAAACACTGCTCTGATTCTGATCTCCCGGGACACATGTTGTTTCTGACATTTTCCCTGCTCACGCGACCTTCTTGATCGATTGAAGTCTCTGCCATCTCTGCCCGGTCCACCAGACAGAAAAAGATGCTAGTCCCTCAAGCATCTCAAGACCAAATTTTGCGATCTTGTTGATCGATTGGGGTTTTCTAACATCTCTGACCAAAAGGGCTTGTTCCCCTCAAGCCCAAGGACTGTCGGATCCGCATGATCTCAAGGTTTACCAAGTTACAGTAAACGTTTCCAAACAGAGAACCAAAACAAGAAGTGCCAAAACATTGGTTTCTTCTTCACTCCTCTTCAACCCGACAGCCGGCAAACAAATAAACTGCAGTTGGCTCTCTTAATCAACTCAAAACTCTCCAACTCCTAAGATTTGTTTGTTGGGACCTTCTTGCCTGCGGGCATTTCAGACGAAGCAGCTGCACCAGCAATCTGCTCAATCGTGTCCACGCTTGCTCTGGGAATATCTCGCACCAACTGCAAGAATTCCTTGAGCAAATTGGAGACAAGGAAAAAGTACTAGCACTCTCCGAAATTTCAAAACCAAGAAGACAGAACAATGAAAATAATCTTCGGTGGTATCCCCAACAGCCGCAACGTTTTATTTTTAGAAATCTTTCTGAAGCGTGCTGCCAAGCCAAGCGCTGGAAACCCTGTCCTGACCTGGCCCTGCACCAATGACTTCGGAAAAAAGAACAGAAAACGAGGTAAGAGGTCTAGTTATATTCAAAGGACCGGTGTGTTTTATTGTGTTTTCGAAACTTGGGCCCCCCTGCCTGGCAATTTTTTTGGTTGACCATTGAAACCACTTCTACCTCTAAACTGAGAAGTTGGCGTCATTTTTGATAAGGGCCATTTGCCACTGCTCTCCTGCGCCGCTTTAAGGAAAATGGTGCATCGCCCTCCAATGGATGATTTCATCACCAATCATCTGTGGATCATGTACCAAAGTTATCTCAAGGGTAGGAACCCGCAAAAAATATGTACAGTTTCCATATGTTTCCACCATCTTGCGATTATGCTTGGCTATTTTGGTGTTACTTGCCAAGACCACTCCTTGTGAATCTATACAAACCCCGGGCCTGGCACATCAATCACCACTCTGTGTCCCTGGCGACCAACTCCAAATTCTTGGGGGGATGCCCAAAGGAGAGGTAAAAGAAACATATGTGTGCATCCCATAGTATGTTAAAACGATGAGTAAAGATGAAACCACAAACCACTGACATTTGACAACATGTTTCCTGGATGCAACCCTGAAATCTTGAAAAAACGCCCCGAGCCTGTCTCTGTCACGTCCTCCGACACCTCCCTGCCTAACAAAGCTGATGGGCTCCAGGAGATTTCAGACATGGTCCAAACAGCTACTCTCCTGAAACGCCAGGCTTAGGTTTAAGATGGTTCAAGGGATTCATTCCAATTTTTATTCAGTTTTTAGATGCCACCACATGTCACCTGAAAAAAGTTTCGTGCCATTTCGCGCCTTCCTTTCGAAGAGCCTTTGCGACCTTGGTTGCGTGGCATGTCTCCACGGATGCAGCTCGTTTGTCAATGGCGAACTTGGTGGAATGGTGTAAACTGCAAATAGTTGGATGAATAGAATATCCTCAATAATAGTCGGCTAAATCGTAAAATAATGTACCGTAAGACTTAATGCATGAAAACTAATCTTTCAATCATAAGCGTATTCAAATCGGGTATGCCGTAGAATATTCATAAAACCCCTCAGAATGGAGAGCACTAAAAAGTGCAATCAGTCCTTAGACCTGCACTCCGGTTCTTCTTTTGTCACTAGCCGTTTGGATGGGGAGTTTCAGTCGCACTCCTCGGAGTGCGACGGGAGAGCCTCAAAGTGTCTTCTCCGCACGCGTAGCAACCTTCAAACACACTACCGCCAAAACCACCAGGTGAATTGGTACATGATATGCTGGCCCAATAATAGTTGAATATTTATATCAATGCTATAGGCGGTATGGACTAAAAAATAGCATGCCGCCGTGTACCCATCATCACGGGTTTGGCGATTCGGTGGTTTTGTTCGGGGTTCCCCATACAGGAGGAGATCTGCCAAGGAGGCACATCCAGGAAACATAAACGGTGGTTTCTGATTCAGAGATTGATGTAATTTGACGTCATTCAGAGCATCAACTCTGTCAGAACCACAGCTGTTTAGCCGGGTCAAATTACAGGGCCACCCGACTTCTTCCAATAAAAACACTGTCATTTTGAAGACTTCTTCAATGAAAACACTGCCATTTTGAAGCAAACTTTTGCAGGTAACCCTGTTTCAAAGCAGATTTGACCAAACGGATCTATCGAATTTTCAGCATGTTCAAACTGGCAACTCTCGGGTTTTGAACCACAGGAGCCAAGTAACCAATCAGACGAGACCCAGTTTCAAGGCAAGGTCTCTTTCTTAGCGGCAACTCAAATGATAGTCGAGCAGCATCTTTTCACTGCTCTGCACCTTTGTGTGCTTGAAATCCATCATATAGTCCTTGGCAGGCCATGAAGTCACCATCCGCCAAAAAGCTGTCAGCCTGAGAAACGCACCGGTTTCCCGGGCCAAAAAACGCCGAGACGCGGCCGCGTTGCGGCACATCTTTGCCAGTCCTTTGAAGCAGCCTTTCACCTGGATGAAACAAGCTGGCTGAAGTGCACGAAACAAAAATTGCGCCCAAAAGTTCTGGTTAAAAGTTGTTCAAACAGCAAGAACCAAAGAATAGGGCTAGGATGGGCAAGGTTAGACTTCATGCTAGCTGATTTAAGTAATTAGTTCTTGTTATCAAGATCTTGAGACATTATGTTTTGCAGTCTCTTATACCTTCAAAGTCCAGCCTGTTCACAAATGGGCCAGTCATCCTTTGCGTAGACACGTGCCTCGGATGGTTAGTGCAGTTTTGGATTGGGATGATGCATCATGCACCAATCAAACACCAATCAAACACCAGTCAACACCATTCATCACTAATGGCTGCTTCATGTGGATGTTTCTGATGTGTCAACCACTTGTGATGATTAACCCCTGACTTTGGCCCATCAAATTTCATAGACCAAACATGACCAAACTATGTGCAACAGGCGTCTGAAAATCTTGATCACACGCATCATGGATTAAGACAATCCAATCCTGTAAACTTAAATTGATGCACCTACTCACCTACTTGTCTTAGAATATTGATGAACATTGTATACGTAATAAATTCGCTCCATCCTCGTGTTTACATGGTGTATACTTTGCCTAAACCGCCAACTTCAGATCGCCTTCCCAAGTGCCAAGTTGCCATTGGGACATAGCGACGCTTGATGTGAAGCGGTACGGTTTCGCGCTCCACATGCAAGGTGTCCAAAGGTTTCAGGTCAAAAATGGTCGAAACCTCTGATGGTTTCGACGTGTTCAACCTGTTTCAACCTGCTCTGATTGGGGTAACCATCCCATGTCTGAAATCAACATGAACAGCTTCAAACCACCAGCGGTTGGTGCTTTCAACATTTCGATGTGGAAACTACAACTCACCCACCAAAGTTGAGAATGTGCTATTCTCATGTCGATGTCCAAGACCTCATAATGTTGACCGTCAGGGCCTAAATTTGAATGACTTGGTTTTGAAATCTATCGACTTCAGTTTTGAAAAACAAAAACGGTGCGGTTCTCAAAAAAAGGCACCTTGACCTCCCTTTTCGTGGGATCGTCCAACATCTTGGAGTCTTCAATCTCCTGGGCGCTGTAAGAAGCCATGGCCGAAAGCGACAAAATACGAGAGCTGCGCTCCTTCCACCGGATTTGGGTGACATGCCTGCGGGCCAGGAGATGAGACTTGGCCTCGGACTTCACGGATCTCCACCAACTGAGTTTCAAGTTGTCAATTTTGGCACAAAAAAAAATCATCCAATCCGAGTCAGTCCAAAAAATTCTTCTTCAAGTCATATGTCCCTAAGACGTCCACGGGCGGATGCAATACTCCTGCCACTCACGGCGCAAACATGGCGCTTCGACCTGAATATTTGGTGCTTTCCAACCGAAATCGACCCGTGCCTTGGTGCGGTGCGGCACAAATGGGCGCAACACCCCTTTCACGGAGAATGTCTTTGGCTTCTCCTGGAGCTGTTTTTCTGATGGCTTAAGCCGGTTCCTTCAGTCAAGCTTTTGGGTAGGATCACTACGCCAGCATCATTGATCGCAAGTGGCACCTCCAATGGCGCTGGAGGACCTGCAAGCTCAAGTTCCAGGACTTCAGGCGTGTCAGCTGTCCTTGGGGGCTGGGCTTAAACTCGATACACTTATATCATCTTATATCGCTATAACAGAAAACGGAGAAAAAACACATGCCGTTCCACCAAACAAATCATGCGAAACCAGGAGGTTATTCAGAATGCTGAGATCTGCTTGGGGTAAAGCCCTTTTTTTGGTCGACCCAAGATACGGCTCAGAGCCAAAGGAAACGTAGGACTCGCTGCATCGAGGGTTCTACATGGCTTTTAGCTTCGAGTCCGGCCTTTTGCTTTGGGAAGATGCTGCGAGCCAACCAACTGAGTCATAAGAGTTTCAATCTCAACTTTTCAAGCCGAGCTTACTAAAGCAGTTTGATAGAAAACATATAAGGGTCATTTACTAAAGCAGATTGATAGAAAACATGATCATCAACCCATCTTTGGCATCTAAAAGCCTGCAAGATTTAATGAACATCCAAAGATCAAAAAGGATCAAAAAGGTAGATCGTTGATCTGTGCAAGTCTGAGGTGTCTGCGCTTGCCACCGCCACCGGTAGAACGTGGCTATTTTCGACGGCAAGGATCTGAGAAGATCTACCAATGTTTTGAGGCTGAACGCTGTGTAAACTCCAGCTGTGCTGAAGGATGCTTGGCCCAAAAGATGCAGCTACACGTGCCTCATGGGAGAAGTCACACTAGCTGTCACTGCAGCTTTTCATCCAACATGTTGCAGAGAATATCATAATATGTGTGTATATATATATATATATTTATTTTTTTTAATGCACATTTATATGTATATATTATATATATGTTCATATATGCCATTGACCAACGTCGACACGGAATTCATGGCAGTTCTATTTTATTTCTTGGTGACAGCATGTGACAGCAGTTTTGCAAAAAATGCACGAAGGATACAGCGGACAGCTATGCGCAGAATGCACGGCCATGCACCGGTTAAGTGGCAAGCACTGCATCAAATGCAGCGATGTGCCACTGAAACAGTTGCTTTTTTTTGCATTTGGCTAGAAGCATGATGGGTTCCCAGCGGGCATTACATAGTTGTTATACACCCGTCGGGTGGAGGTCTTCAGAACTCCTCCATCTCCGTCTATGACTGCCCCCAGCTTCTCTGCTGAGTTTGCTCGAATCAGGGCCTTGTCCAGCGACACCGGAATCCCCCAGTGACGGTATGCCCTCCTGAGGTGCTCTTGTTCCTCTGATGGACGCCCCTCAAGCTCTTTTGCCACCTTCTTTGTCATCACCTCAATCAGATTCGAGTCATCCAAGTACAGTGACCAGAGGGCTTCTTCCAGGTCGGGGAAGATGGCGTCACGCCTGATTTCGCAGCGCCCCAAAAGGCCTGCCCCGGCCAACGGTGACCGCAGGGCTAGGCGCCTATGGGCGTGCTGGAGTACGCCAACAGCCGACGACCATCCCATCGGCAAAACTTTTGCGCCGACGTACACATCGCCCTCTTTCTCAACGCCCAACACCGTCCACGGGACCTTCATGCTGAAAGCCATCATCTGGCTCCACCCTGGAGGCATGGCGAACAAATAAAAAGCTGATACAAGGTCATCAGCAGACATCCTCAATACTCGCCCCTCCAGGAGTACAAGGTGCTGCAAAGCTGGTGCACCAGCCAAGCTACGAACATCTCCAGTCAGCACCTTGCTCACTGAATTGGTGCCTCTGAAATCCATTATAAGGCGGAGCACGGGCCTCTCGTCTTCAAGGAATTTGCCGGGTTTAATCACCCCGAAAGAGCCGTTCAGGACGGGTCGGCCCCTCACAAGCAGCGGCTGCTCTACTGCTTCCACTAGACCTCTTTCATAGAGGTCCTTCACGATCATGTTCCATTGTTCCCGGGAAGCTTGTACCTTCGGGCGAGGTACGTCAGCCGGCAGATCCTCGTCTTTCAGCACATTTGACCCAGGGTTCATCAGCTTTTCCTTGAGCTCTCCGTCGCATAGTTCCGCCAAAGGCACGCTAGCTCCATAGCCAGCCGGGGGGAGGCCTGGCCTTATCTGGTCCAGCGTCAAGTGCTGTGACTTCTCAACAACCTCCCCATGATAAGAGATCCTGACATCAGCCAGCTTGCTACCCCAATCACCAAGCAGGGGAGAACGTTGCACCTTCTCCCGGACCTCAGATGTATCATCAACATAGTCTCGCACAAAAATTTACAAACGGTCCAGGGCCTGAGACTGAGCCTTACTTGGCGGGCCCAGGCAAACCCCCGCCTTTTCACCTCCTCCTGACCACAGATGATTGATGAGGGTCACAACCAGCCCATGCCAAATAAGCAGACCCGTTTTTCTGCTCATTCGGGCTGCCTTCTCCTTGCTCCATTTCTTGGTCCCCCAAGTCCCAGCCAGGCGCCTGAACTCCCCGCTGTTGAAAAGCTCCTTCAAGGCTTCTCTTGAGTCCGGCAAAAGCGGCAAGGGCACCAGGCTCCGCTGCCTTGTCCCTTTACCGCCGTCGTCTGACCCAGGCAGCACGTTCCGGCTCAACAGCTTTCCAACAGGGGTGCCACTTCTAAACACTGCCAAAGCCAGCAATGCGCCTGACTGAGCTACTGTGAGGCCTCCACATTCCTCTTTTTGCAACCATGCCCTCATCACCTCAATGGAGTGGTCGGCATCAGCACTCAGCTGGACGGTCTCGAGGGACTCTTGCTCACTGACCTCCTCATAGGTGTCGGGGGCCTCTGAACTTCCACCTCCTTCTGCGGCCCAGATTCCCAAAACCTTCTCCGGGACTGCTCCGCAACCTTCTCCGGACCCCGTTGAACCTGACTTGGCTTTGCACCAAGGCTTCCTGGAACCTTCTCCGGAACCTTCTCCGGAACCCTGTTGAACCTAACCTGGCTCTGCCCAGACCTTCACCGAAACCTTCTCCGGAACCTTCTCCGGAACCCTGTTGAAACTGAATGGCTTTGCACCAAAACCTCCCACACCTTCTCCGGGACCTTCGGAACCTTCTCCAGAACCTCGTTGAACCTGACCCGGCGCCTGCACCAGTGCACACCGGAGCTATTCTTACGCTGTTGGAAAAAATCAAAACCTTGGACTGCAGGATCTAATCCCCTCACCCACTGACATGACCATCCTCCGGATGCCACACTGACCAAAACGTGCCAAGTCATGTCAAGTTACATTCCTAAGGTGCGGTGGTGTTGCCAATTGTCTTGCGATTCTAGCAATCTCTCCATGAACCGCCTTTCCATATTCCTCGCGGGCCCTGATACGATCATATCGCAGCGAAAAGTACTGCGGTGCTCTTTCCAGCAGTTCTGACCATTGGATCCCGACTTCGGTGGTTCCTGTCGAAGGGTTGCGAAGTCGGATGCGCCCATCGCTGGTGAGGAGGGGGCGGCTCGAGTGATGCTGCTGGTCAAGTTCCAGCAACCGGTTCAATTCCTGTTTGATCACCAGATCACCTCGCTTAAATCTCGAAAAGTTCGAGGATATCGCCTGGGCTGCAAAGCACTCATTGAGCTGGTTCACCCATAACTGACCCCTTCATGTGGTAAACATAAACCACATTCTTTACAACCTCACCCCATGGATCTTATCCACAAAAATCTCCGATCCCGAGCTAATTTTCATGGTCCATTGCCAGAATAAATCAACCAAATAAACATCTAAGAAAATATCTTACTATCTGTCATCAGCAACTAACCCTTGTCCAATGGAATTCATCCCACAACAAGTTTGTTACAAAAGCTGGGCATTCTGCACCAAATCTTGCAAATCCTTCAAAGTAACCTCATCACGTTGATTTTATCAGCAAACAAGACTCGCATACTCAAAGCCAGGTTCTCGAGCAGCTGTAGTCACTGCAGTCTTGAACAAACCACCCCTTTTGCATCTATTCGGGAGTGTTGTCGAGGGTTACTGTGAACACGTTATCATAAACCACATTCTTTACAACCTCACCCCATGGATCTTATCCACAAAAATCTCCGATCCCGAGCTAAATTTCATGGTGCATTGCCAGATTGAATCAACCAAATAAACATCTAAATACCCGTTGCTGTAGCATTCTAGACAGGCAACCTGGTTTTTAGCCCCCAGTGAGGTACAAACTGCAACCAATGAAAACCTTTGCGGAACGTTTCTGGTATCCCAGGGTGGCACTCATAAAACTCAGGCTCCAGGCTTTCATCCTGTGCAAGAACTTCACTATTTCATTTTCATGAAACTCAGGCCCCTGGTTTTCATCCTGTGCAAGCACTTCACTATTTCATTTTCATGAAACTCAGGCCCCAGGTTTTCATCCTGTGCAAGAATGTCACATTTAATTTTCATGAATCTCAGTCTCATGTTTTCAGCCTGTGCAAGAATGTCACCATTTAATTTTCATGAATCTCAGTCTCATGTTTTCAGCCCGTGCATGCACTTCACCGCTTAATTGTCATGCGGGCATATTCCAAAGCTGCTTGAACAAGCCTGTGGCAGCCTCTGCTGCAAGCTCGTTTATGGGGTGTTGGTTGAAGGTCTCCTAAGTTTTATGTCAAGTGAGGGTCTGAGGGAGGGTCTCATATTTTTTTGGTCTCGTAAATTTGATGTCAGTGTTGTCATTGCTTGTTGTTGCTGGGAACTTCAACCACGTCGTTGATGGTTGAAGTTGGCTGTTGATGCGGTGCTTTAAAAAAATCTAGATTTACAAAGATGACAGTGAATGTGAGGGTCTGCTTATTTCGCCTTTCGCTCCCCTCATGATCCACTGCCACCTTTTTATGAACCCTTCACTACACAAATGCGAGAACGGAAAGAAAGTGGAGAACGGACAATAAGAATTGTTTAACCATAGAACCCACGAACCCGAAATGCTTTGTTTGAAATCCGCCACCATCAACTGAGAGATGTGCTTTTGAAACTTCCGCACCATAGAGCGTGTCGCTCCCTCCCAGTTGATGGCTTTTATAAATAAAAAACACCTACTGTCCGTTGCTTCTGGCTGTCCGTTTTCTCGGACATCAACTGAAGCACCTAGCTGCACTGGTTCCTTTGGATCTTGATGATCTTGTTCTTTCGACACCTGGCAAGCGAAATGAACAGTGGCGGCAAATGCTGGAGTCTCATGTTCATCTCATGACCCGAGCTAAGAAGTTTACATAAGTCTACTGACCTTACACCTGTGGATTTCATCTCACTGCTGCGCATGATCGAAGTGAAGAGGCTACCCTGTGCACAACCCCAAGGAAAGATCCGCCAAACCCCATCGCATGGGTTTTCATCCTGGACGACCCATCAAAATCAACAACAATGAGCGACATGAGATCGAAACAACACCTGTTTTCACCATCTCAGACCTCTCACTGCTTGTCAACCTTTAAACTCTTCAAATCTCTTCAGTCATCTTACACCCCATGTCACCCTTCAACATCATAAACCGCTTGCCAGCCACTTCATGCACCCCAACCAGACCAACCACTCGGATTCACAAGGCCTCAACGCCTTTCCCAGGCGCTGCATGTCCATTCGGAATCTCTTGGGTGCTGCACACGGCAGCCTCCAGCATCAAGACACCCAAGATATCCAAATTATCCAAGCAAAGAGTCTTCTCAAGTTTGCCGAGCCTCACGGATCTCACAGGGAGCCAATTCAGGCTGATCAGCCTGAGGAGGCTGACCAGCCTCAGGGATCTGAGAGGGCTCAGGCGCAATCTGACAGAGAACAAATCATGTTTCGAAATCCTGTGTCATCCGTTATCTGTTAGCCAACACCTCGCCTGTTTGCGCTTGCACATCTCCTTCAACTCTTGGAGGCTCAGCATTTGATCTGCACAAGCAGCTATGCATCGCCCTCTGGGTGCTTCCACCTGTGCATGCTCCTTTCTGCTGCAAATGCGTCCTGATCTCCTCCCCTGTGCCTCACAATGCATTCTGGTGATTTTACAATTGACACTATTGACATCAATTGAATGTTGATTTTCACAAACTAGTTCACCAAAGTCGCAACTTTCGTCGACAAAATACTCTTGTGGTCAGTTATGTCAATCAGGACACCAAAGCAAAACATCAGAAACAATTATAGTAGACGAGGGTCAGTCAGAGACAGCACATACGTTTCGTTAGTGCCGCCCCTCGTCTCGATCCATATTTCGAAATTTTCCATTGGGCTGAAGCCGCAAGCTGAAATCCCTTGAAGCCAAAATAGCTGTTAGTCGGCCATCACAAGTGTTCTCGAACATTTTAAATATGTTTCCATTCAATTCCAACCCTCCCTTGCCTACCAACGAACAGCCAAAACACCTCATGTTCGTCATGAGATTCATGAGTTTTTGGTATGCCACAGGCTTGGTGGATGAATTTCCATGGTCGGACGTTCCATCAAATGTTCGATAAACCGTGAACACAGTGTATGAAATCCAAAGCCTTGAGGTATGGGCACCTTTGAATTTGCAAAGATGGGCCCCGGCTAAAATCCAAAGTTTGAGGTCAAGTAAAAGCAAAAAGATATATTGTTGCATCTGGATGAAATTCATGGCCCAGCAGTAATTTCAGTTACAGACATCTGCTGGGATAAAATGTGGGCACAAGGTGAACACATGGGACCTGGATAAAAAATTGGATAAAGCCCCTGGATCTCATCCAGGGGCACCAAACGGGGATAAATATATATATATACTGTTAGGTGATGATGGGTTTTATGGAAATATGCTTGGTGCTTTCCATGTAGATGCAGTTGACGTTGTTTTGTGCAAATTCAACGAGTCCTTAGTTGGAACTTATCCATGATACCTGCAAATATGTTTGAAAATAGTGGTAATTTTAATTTTTTTTGGCCTCATGATTTTGTATGTATATATGTGTGGCCTCAGAATTTTTGACGCACTTTTCCCAGGTGATGCAAAGGTGAGCCAAGGTGATACAGGGTGATGCACAAGGTCGAACGCCACACTTCATCCGGCATTAGAATGTGCACAGCTACTCTACATCAGATGTTTGATTCTCGTCTTCGTCCATATCATTTTCCTGTGGCGCATTCATAGGCGGGCACATTAAGTACAGGCTTGATCGATTAATTAATTGTGAACACCCGCAGCAAATGAATTGAACCGCTTCCAAACTTTGCAGCATTTCTATTTTGGTAGCTCCAAGGAATTCACGGGCACCAGGATCATGTACCTCACGCAACATTCTACCAAACTCTGTCCTCAACTCGCTGCCAAGCTCTTTGAGAAGCACATTGAAAAAATCAGAAGCATCCTGAGCGTTTATTCCCGACAGCAGACGTTGCGGATACCCTTTCCAAAGCAGCAAGAATGATCTGGCACCGCTGCCACACTCCGAAAAGGACGGTGCAGGCAAAGAAGAAGATTTGAAATTGGAATAAATTCTATAAAAATGCTTGGCCACAAATGGCCCGCAACCTCTCTGCGTGCGAATTTCTCGCATCACTTCCCTCTTGTCTTTCAAGCGGCCTCTGTTATCTTTCACGTTAACATGCCTAGGCCTCCAAGAAATATGAAACACATCCCGAAACGTGGCAACTGATAGGAATTCTTCTTTGCTCATGTTTCTGGCCGTATGACCGTGTCTCTTCTGTGGGTTAAAGCCATTGCAAAAAAAAATCGGCAGCTGTGAACCCTGGCACTGCGGCCATCCGATCCCATGAGGCCGCGAGAATGTCACGAACCGTTGATCTGCCAAGTCCAAACCCAGCCAAATCTTGGAGGAATCTCCTCCCAGTGCATCGACTCATGTGCTACAAAAATCGCTGAGTTCATAATTCAGCTTCATCACCCCGAGGAGCTCACCGATCCTCATCTTCGGATGCTTTGCAAAGCGTTGCGTAGCTCTTTCCCCACACTCGAAATCAAAATCTACGCTTTGGCTGAGGAACCTGCCCAAACTCGCCAAGCTGAGCATCTGTCATTCGGCGCGCGACCACCTTCTTGGCGTTAGCCATGAATGCCATGATGTGAAGATTGATGGTAAACCGGCTGAATTACACCTTGAAAGAGTGGGAAGTTGTCGAATCATTTTCCCCTATGGCACAGACGGGGGATATTATGGGCAATCATGACACCGTGTTGTGAAATATTTCCCTCCACTATACAAAGCAATCACCGTACTTTCCCTGCTCTTTGTGCACAGGTGCCCCAAAATTCCCAACCATCTTTCCACACAAGCACCGCCCCATCCGCCTCTGCAATGCGCAGCATACCCTGCCATACCATGGCATTGCACTTTGTCTCTGCCTTCTACTCACAGCTCGTGTTCTTTCATATTTGCACCTGGTCGCCTTGCCAACCCAATCCTGCTTCTCCAAACATGCCCAGCCACTGCGCATATATATATATCTACATTTATATATATATATATACATACATATTATATATATACACACATACATACAATCACATATTTCATTATTCTGTCGCCATGCTCTCTTCTGTGTGCCGCCAGCCAAACTGCCTCTCCCATTCGCTCCAGTCACATGCCCCGCAAAAAAGGTGGGTCGGCGGCACCAGGGCGGTAGCCCTACTTATAACTATGGTTTATAATACTTGCAACTAGTAGTTAATGGGGGTTATAACCCAACTTATGACTGGGGGGCCCCACATTGTACAAAGCCGCTGATTAGAATGCTTGAAATGAAAAGGATTTGACCGTGTGCAGGATTGCAAATGGACTGGGATTGAAAGCTGCAAGCGTGGGGATCTATCACTAACTTCACTGATGATTTATGCATACAGAAATGGTGACTTTATCCCATCATAAATGTTCACCAAGACTACTCCCAGCCCCCCAATATGAATACCTCCTATGAATTGGACTCCAATTCATGAAGAGTGACCCAATAAGGCTTCAATCAGGGAAAAGGATTGAGGAATATCAGCAGCAACATCCTGTAGTTGGTTTATGATATGGAAACGATGAAGGAAAGTGGCCTTGGAAGAGAGCCAGAATGAACCCCCAGGTTTTATTGGGGAAACTCGGTGTATGGTTTCAGACATGTGGACATCTAGGTTGGTCTAGCTGGCAAGGACACAAAGGGATTGTTGGGCAACGTTTGATGAAGAAGTTATCATACTCCCGTATCATCCCTAATTCACAAGCTGTCGTCCTATGTCCATACCTGCGGTTAGGATGTAATTAGCGACTACAATTTAATGAATTTGTAGCGGCTCTCACCACAATGTTCTGGTAAGGCATACCACACCTGGATGAGTCAAGACATCACAGTGAGGGGATATAATTAGCCCACATCCTGGCAGTTGATAACTCCAAACACCATCTTGAGTACAGTCTCCAGCCGCCAGCCATTATTTCTGCATGGCAGCGCGACTTCTGTCACTTTCGGAGGGCGCGCCGGAAAAATTGCGAAGCAGGCAACAGCCCGTTCCAGCTTCTCTGGAATCAAAAGGGTATGGAGCGTATTGTTTACCAAGAAATGAATGGTTGAATGACAAAGCATGTAAGTGGGTTCATTCCCACGTTCAGATCGAACACGTTCTGAATAATTTGCGTGCAAATTGGGTTTTTGTGATTAGTTCTTGGTTCTTTGTACCTGGAAAGGGTTTCCGAAAGAGTCTGATTCCAAAAGAAGCTGAAACTGTATGAAACCAGAAAGTCATGGCGACTCTGCGGTTAGACTTTGGTACATGAAAGCAAAAAACATGATCCAATGTGAATGAGTTGCAGTTGATATATATATATATATGTATGTATATATATATATACATATATATAGTTACATATACATGTACATGTACATGTATACTGTATATACATACATATATATATATAGGACCCTGGCATCAAGCTGACAGAATTAGCAGCAACAACATGGCCCTCTCATGACTTGGGCGAGAAAAATCAAGCGATCAGGGTCTTCAAAAAGAAGACGCCCCAATTGGCCACGATGATCAAAGTGATAACGATGATCTGCGGCGAGCTTGGAAATGCGGAAGGAAACGTTAGGAAAAAAATCTGTAGAGTTACTGTAAAGTGCGTTTAGGCATGAGGCATAAGAGTTAGCGATGGCAAGCTAATGATGATGGATAGAATATGATTCAATGATAACATATGATTAAATGTACCACAATGCAGCAGGTAGTACCCGACCAGTCCCCCAAAACATCAAATAGACGCTTAGGTGGTTAATATATGCATCTGACCTCCAGGATTTCTTTGATACATATGGAGGTTTCCTGAAATGGGGGTACCCCAAATCATCCATTTTAATAGGAGTTTCCAGCTATTGGGGCACCCCCCTTTATGGAAACCTCCATATACATATGTATGTATGTATATATATATATATACAGCAGAACAAAATGGATGGTTTGACTCCTTTTATGTGACTTGTGATTCGAATCAATCGATCAGTTGGTGACACTTTTTGGCGGAATTTCACCCTGGAGAAGCTCCTGCCAGCATTCAGTTCCCCGATCACCCTCTCATAGGTCAAGCATTCCTACATCTGGCCAAAGGTACAATCATGCACACTCTCTGATGGACATGACTTATCCATGTTCCCAAGATTCATGGAAAAGAAAGTCCAGAAACCCCACCTTTCACCCTAAAATCGGTAAAAATCCATGGTTTCAGGTTTTTGTGGCACCCTTCCATCCCCAAAACACATGGGGACTGCGGCCTGTTTCAGGATAAAGACCGACCACTTTTTCACGTCGCTGCCGAATTCATGTTCCATGAAGAGATATGGCCACCTTACCAGGAGGCGTTGGCGCGTTGGCAATGCGCTAGACCGTCTTTTCAGAGTGGCAATGGGGACCTGTAAATGGTAGGGAATTTGCCTAAATCAAAGGAGAAATGAATGTAATCAGCAAGCATGATCGAACATGTGTGTCAAGTGCATAATTTCCATGACTTTTTGCTCGGATGAGTTTTATCCATTTGGTGAGCTGTATACATAGTCAGAAAATGGGGTACAACCACAAATGTCAAGATATTCTCGCAAGGGTCATGCCGCAGCTACACCCGTGTAGCGAACTCCAGGAATCAAGCGAGTGGCCTAGTTCATTATCGAAAATCTGAATCATTTGGAGCCCAAAATGAACAGCTTCACAGCTTTCTTATATGGCTATGAGTGAAGACCTACTATTATCATATTATTCCCATATGTGGGGGAATCCTAATCCATTAACATCCATGAACATCCATGAACCAGCTATTTCAGGCTACCTACATTGCAAATCCTTAGCCGATTTTCAGATTTTCTCAGGTCTGCCGCCGAGTCACCTGCCCGTGAGCTTGTAGTTGAAGAAAAAGACAACAATGTAAAAAGTGCCTCGGTCCGAGAACACTGGGAAAACCCCAGAGGGAATGCATACTGAGTCACTGGCTTGCTGCTGAAGTCACAGTAGATCAACGCTAACCAATAGGTATGTATGTATTTATATATATATCGACAATAAGTGTTAATATATAGATCTATATAGTAGATCGACAGAAACTGAAGTTACTATATAGTACAGTACTATAGATCGACAGTAACTAAGGCACTAAGGATAACTGAGGTATATACAAAAATGTGAGCCCAAAAATAACTTTAGTTGGGGATGTCTGAAAATGAGGTACAGCACAAAAAATGATGCTTACTTATCACAGAATTTCCATAAGTCTACCATTCAAATTGCTATTTGGGGGTATCCGTTCAGACATTCCCGAAGATCATATTGTTGTTTAAACATTTATTGTACATATTATATCCCAGTAGACCCATAGTATCCCATGTTTTTTTCCTAGTAATATCCCATGAAATATCATGAAATATCACAATTGCCTATGCACTATACACCACTTCGGGCTCCCCAACCTGGGGGCGTCGATCAAATTCCATTAAATCATTGCCGTGTTTGATAAACCAGAGGCTAAATGTAACCCTGTTCATTCTTGCTGGGATATGAACATCTATCTACTGTAAATGGGCACAAAAGAACTAGGTACCAACTTACTAAGTTTTCGAAGTACCCCCATTCTCTACCATTTTTTTGTACTCACCCGCAATGAATCCTGTGAGCTTGTCCCAACCCCCTTCAGTGCCATATGGATGCCATTTCGCAAGCAAGGCTAAGGGGCTGTAGAACATGCCGAAGGCCATATCTCCAGGAAAGGACAAGGTCTCTCGCAAGGTGCTGGTGGATCTCAAGCACAAGTCCTGCAAGGTCAGAAGCTGTCTCGGTCTCGAATTCCGGGGTGAAAACCATGGATAAGTCATGGATATAACTGATATAACTGACATAACCTATGGGAGTCAATCAAGTCAATCATTAACAAGTAACCGATGGGAGTTCAGAATTCCCCCATGGGATTAATACCCATCAATTACGTTGAAAAACGTATGGGACTCCTCAAGACGTTGGCCCGGGTCGATGATGGTTTTCACCATGGCGGAAACCATGGCGTAAACTTTTGGATATATCTTTCATATACCATCTTTCATATATCTTTCAAACTTTTGTTGTGCTGTGTTTGCTTTTTAGGGCTTAAAGTTGACAAAGTTTACTGTAGATCATCGGATCTGCAGTGTTTATCCATCCTTTTACCCCTGGGACAAATTCCCTTCCGCCCAACTCTAGGGACATCAAGGGGATACAATCCAGGTGGAATGGTGGAAAAAACATACCATTTGGGGATGATGGTTACAGCTGTTACCACCCATGTATAGTGATTTTGGGGATGGAAAACACTATCGCTTTATATACTAACATTACAGTGTTTTTTTCCCGAGGATCATGGATATTCATGAACGTGTTGATGATTTAAGGCCATCGATGCCCGGAATTGTCAAAGAGTGGGTTCAGTTCCCTTTCCCAAGTGAAAAAACATGAAGTTCATTCATTCACAAGGTTGACGTGTCTACATATCAAGTCCTTGCTTTGTTGATCTGGTTTTTTGAAACCACCGGAAGTAGACCGGTCAGTTGTCGCTGTCTCCCATTGACCGAGGAAAAGGCCCGTCCGCCAAGCCAATGAACAGCGCCGGCACGTGGAGGACATGTTGGACCTGAAACGAATATCCTGAAATCACTCAAGTACATCTTATATACATATATTTTCATATATATATATATACAGTTTATATATATATACACAGAGTAATTATATAGATATACAATAATATATATATGTATGGCTGAATTAGAAATCCATTGCCACTTTGAAATAAGGTCATTTGATGTCATTCGGGGATAGTTACCTCTATTAAAAACTAAAAACCATCATTCCGGAATTCCGTCGAACAGATATCATCTTTGAGCACCAAAGTGGAGGTCTTTTAATCATCACTTCCCCTATATTTTTTGTGGTATACAGTATTCCATCATTTTTTGGGGCTAACCCATATCCTCCAATCTAGTTAAGGCGAATCTAAAGATATCTAACGTGCAGCACATTTTTGCGACGATGTGTGCACTACATGTTTGCCCAATGTTTATTCTTTGTTGGGTACAGTATTTCACATTGAAAGCCAGGGTTCCTTTTTGGGGTGGTTCCCTTGCTAGTTTTCAGTGCAGTGAACATCCAAGAAAAGGTGTACAGGAATCAGTGGCTCTGTCATGCTCATGCCTTGAGATATATTCCTATATATACGTACATATATATATATATTGATTTCTGGCACCACACTGATGAAACACATGTGGCACCTGAACATGCATTGCACCAAGTTGTTTTGATGGCTATACAGTGAGAATGCAATAAACCAATAAACACCAAGCACCAAAGCACCATAGCATAACATTGGCTAAACTGCTAAACACTACCCGAAAATGTGGAGCCAGAAATGCGTCCCTCAGGGATCCAAAAAGCTGATTTTCGTATATCTTGTCACTACACCCACATGACTTTTCATTGCACGCACATGATATTCATATGAAATCAAACAAGTTTAATCCACTTGTTTAACAAGTTTATATATTGAACGCACACTATATCCACTCAAACATGTTAGAAATTCCTCATGGCTCTTTGTTCCAATCCTGGCAAGTTTCGACCCATCATCTTGTTGGGCGATATATCAATATCTAGAAACATCCATACAGTGATATAATCATATATATATACATATCAAGATGTGGATAATATATATAATATAGTGTGTATATATATATATACATTAGATTAATGTGTGCCATGATGTCCCCGTCACCACCATCAGCCAGGAAAGCTTGCTGCCTCCCGAAAGTTCACACCTTTCTCAGCCCACTGTTTGCACTCTTCTTTGAAGCCTGGTTTGTCATGGCTATATCAGGCTATAACTATGGTATATCAATGGCTTTTCCACTATGGTATACCACTATTTTGGGGTGACCAAAATGACTATATCAATGGCTATAACTAACTATGGTATATGGTAATGAATGGGCTATAACTATGGTAGTTAATGGATATCATTCTAGGGGGTTTTAACTATACATGGGAATCAGTATGCTACTAACTATGAACGTTCGGGGTGCAAGCCAGCGGTGAGTTTTTAGGCTACAACTATGGTAAGTTGACATGTCATAACCTCCGTAGGTTGGGATATGGGGCCCAACTTAAACTATGGTGAAATATGGGAGCCGCCTATTAATTATGCTTCCGCTGCACCAATTGGTGGGATTGACAGCCTTTGGAAAACCAGACTTTCCATGAGGGATCCGTGGTATCCTGGTATCCTATTTTTAGACAAACCCAATGATAGGAATGGGAGGATGCTGAATGATGCACAGAGGATGAGAATGAGTGTTCTTGTCTGGTGAGAATGGTTTTATTAATGTAGGGTATCCAAGATGATTTCAAACCATCATATTACTACCAACCATTACATAATGAATAGAGTTTGTCGGACCTTAAAATGTCAGTTCAGTGATGTTGGCATCCAAAAAAAATGTTTTTCAAACTCAGTGCTAATTTGGTACCAACCATTATATTATTAATAGAGTTTGTCATGAATATCAGTATAGAATGATCCACCATTATGTCTCAAAATGTACAAACTCAGAGTCACTTCAGTGTCAACTTCGCGATGACAAGTCGACACTGCAATTTCAATACATCGAGCCTCCCTGAGGGAGCAGCTTTTTTGGATGCGGTTGGGAAAAAATCATGCTAACTATGCTAGAAACCGGTAAAAAGCCTCCAGAAGTTGGGATATCACCCCCTATACCCTCTGGTAATTTAACATAGCTATTGAAAATGACCATTTATAGTGGATTTTCCATAGTTATGTTAGTTTACCAGAGGGTAACTTTGGTGGTTGACCCACCAAAATTCGTTTAACTGCACCCGAAAGTCTGTCCGGACACAAATGGATGGTGTACTTTTGAGGCTTCCCTCACATCACCCCATGTTATCATCCAACGTATCTACTTTCTCCAATATGTTTTCTAGGTTTTCCAATGGTTATTCCAAAATATGTTTCATCCAATAAAAGCAACACCATAATAGGTTTTTCTTGATGATAAAAGCTCCAATATCCGGTCCAAAATGTTCTAGGTGTTCCAATGGTTTGTAGGACACCCCAATTTTGAGAAAGTTCGAAAATTCGCTCCAAGCCATATCTAATCAGATCACAATCCGTAGGTCATGCGCACAGCAAGCTGAAGCGCGCACAAAGGTCATCACGGCTATGGGTCGACAACAAAAGAATGAAAAAGCACTGGATAGTTACCCTTGCTAACATGTCCAGTGACGTCGCAGTGAGCTTGCAACATAATTTATCATTCTACTACGATCCCGATATTCAGATATGCCCATTGATTGGTTGGTATATACCTCCAGATTGTTCCTAATATTTCCCAGCGTTGTTGTTGGTGATCTATCCCCATTCATATCCCCATTTACAGAATATATCGCACCCTAATCGGAAAAAAACTGCATGCATTTATCATAATGTCAACCCTGGATTAATCAACCCCTAGGCTGTTTAATTGGGAAGGTACCATTTAAGTATCAAATCATGACTATTGGGGGAATACCCCTCCAATTAATAAACCAGGGTTTATTAATCCGGGGTTGACATTATTACATATATATATATATTATATATATATAGTCCACTATATCCAACTCTATCTCCATTGATGGTTTAAAAATCCTCATGATGTTTACATTTACGCACCGGTCACCATAGAAAAACCCGTCACCTTCAGCTGGGACAACGAGAGCAAAGTACTGGATGGTCACCTCATGGCTGCCATTCGGAACGATGCGGACCAGAGGTGAACAAAAATGGGTATAACTATGGCTACAACCATGGCCGTTCATAGAAGCATTCATGGCTTTACTCTATGGGTATAACCATGGTGAACTATTTCTCCGCATAAGTTGAGATACAACCCCTACAACTGCACCCGCAAGTACACGCACAGGAATCTCAGAAATTTCCCATCATGGGGGACTCCATTTCCTTCCCGTAAAGATGGTGATTTTCCAGTTCTCTACGTTCAATCACCAGAGGGTAGCTGGTTGATAAGAAAAAAATTGGAATCAATGAATCAACCATCTTGTCTTCGATGGGGGACCAGAAAATCCTCCAAGCCATTGGAAATATGTGGCGACAAAGCATCACCCACCTGAAGAGGTTGGAAATATGTGGTGACTGGATATTGGATTATTGATCAACAAGGCCATAGCGATGTAAAGGCCCGCCTTTTACGCCTTTTCCGTTGTCAAAAAAGATTGCCGGAGGGTCGATCTGAACAGTATGGGGCATTAGTCTACGTTAAAATGCCCTAAAGACGAACAAATCTCAAAAAAATCATCTTGGCCAACACAGGGTTTCCACATGGCATGGTCAAGATCGGCTCAACCAGAAACACTGCGCGGCTGGTCATGTGGAGCCCACATTGGTCGTTGAAGCCACGCAACTCTACTGATATTTCCCCTTGCTGAAACTCCGCCATCTTTTGGTGAATAAATCTGCCAAATTCATCTAGTTTCGCGTTTTCATTAGCAACATTCCAGGATGACTTCACATCATAAGTTCTGGGATGTATGGAGGAAAAAAATATGTTGGTGCCATCGCATTTAGACCCACAGTCAAAAGTTACATTGCCGAGACGCAAAGGCGCCAAGCGCGCCCATACAAACTGACAATCCGTTCCTCAGGCTACGACTTTTTGGAGCCGCTTAGATTCTATGTTGCATCCCAATGCAGTCCCGCTTAGATGTTTCTCCAAGAAACGGTCAGCTGGGGGTTTGGTGCAAAACATGGAGAGTGGGTGCCGTTTTAAATGGCAATTTTTATTTGGACATTGAAGAGCCGCAAAGTGTTGGGGTACAGTGAAAAGTTTAAGAACCTACTGCATTGAGAACCTCAGGGGCCAAAAATTGCTGGATAAAACTCTCTCTATCGTCTAATTCAAATAAGAACCCTATACCCTGGAATTCTGGATTTTTTTTGTCCTTATTTTACCTTTCCCAGGTATATTTGGTTATGGTTATTCTTCTGAAAAATGCATCCATTCTCAACTCACTTCTTCAGCGAGCCGAGCCATGGGGACATGAGAAATGGTGCGAAAAGCGTGATGTAAATGCATGTTATATAAAATGTGTTGAAAATCTTTGGAAATATGTTTTTGCTAGTTAATATCCACTTGTTGCAATCCAGTTTTCGGTGGTGAAAGCCACTTTTTGCATGTTCAAATCCAATGTTTGCTGGTTTTTGCTGGTAAAACCCATTTTTTGCTGGTGAAAAGCAACTGTTTGCCGCCCAAGGGCGTAACAGCTGCAAGTGAAGGGGCCCAAGCGCACAGCAAAGAGAAGACTTGATGCCAGAACTGTCGCAAGCTGCGCTGGCCAGGTGAAACATGGGTCAAAATCCTGTGGAATAAGTGATTTCATTGGTTTTTTATGAGATTCAATAGGCTTTCATGGGATTGAATGGCGCAAACGCGAGATTTCTAGAGGGATTCAATATAGCAACTAAGTGTGAAAAACCCCGTGGCTGGCTTTCAAAGGTGCTCCGGCAACCAATCCAGTGACATACACATGAATGTAGAGAAATACATATAAATAATGATGTTTGTAGGGGGTATGAGTCAAAACTCAGAACCTTGGTACCAGTACGTGTTCGCATCAAAACTTCAAACAGCAGTTTTTTTGTGATGCATCTTCATCTCCCATTTGTACTTCGCATATGAAAATCATCCCCAAATGGCTCACGGCTCGACATTGGGGGTATTGACCAAATTAGGTGGATTGGATAATGTTGACTAAGTATATGTATATGTGTATATATATATATATATGTACTCCCTACACTAGCATTTCTTGTTGGCTATATAGTTTTAGTATGTTTTAGTCTAGTTATATCATGTTATACCATGTTATATCACCATTTTATTGTCGGTTATAGTTATACCATATATCCGTATATCCATCGAGAAAGGGCCATGGGGCCATAGGGCCATGGCGGTCATGAGGTCATCCATATCATTTCTACCCTCGGGTAATCAACATTGCAAAGGAAAATCCATGGAAAATCCAAGAACATCCTCCATGTCTAGATCTAACTAGAGTCTATAATCTAACTGGGAACCCCATGTTTAAGGTTGTGGTCGTCAATCCCTTCTTCAATCATCATACTAAAACAGAATACTAACTACCCCCAAGTGCCACCCTGGTGGAATGTATTTTTACGGACTACACCAATGTCCCGAATGATTGGGGATATATTACTGGTTGGTGGTATACCTACCCCTCTGAAAAATATGAGTTCGTCAGTTGGGATTATCATTCCCAACTGAATGGAAAAATAATCCAAATGTTCCAAACAACCAACCAGAATATTTCGTTCTACAAACAAGGAAGAGGATTGCACAAAATCCCCATCAAATGACTGGCTTGACTCCATTGTTCCCAACCTGGGTTACAAGGTGCGGCCGACCAGTTCTCAGTTGGTTTATAAACCCCATTAACTATATAGGTATATCATGTTATATCACCCACAAACCATAGTTACCCAAGTCCTATAAGTCAACTTAGCTATCCCCAAACCTGCAGAGTGAGGCAGTGTCGCGTCAAATAGACCCACTGACCCATTTTCCTTAGGCCGCGATGCTGAACTGGAAGAACCGTATGTAGGTATGTTTTAAAGAAAAACAGGGGGTGAATAACCTGGACATGTTGCGTGTACATGTGTATATATTGTGTACATTGTACATCTTACCCCCTGGTAAATTAACAGTTCGACCCTAGTTTTAATCACCAAGTTTTAATGGAAATGGATCTTCCAACCCCTACATGTATCTGCCAGGGTCTATGTTAATATACCAGAGGGTAATAAATGTATATATATATATAGAATTGTGGGTTTCTCAAAATAGAGGTATCCCCAGGTCTCCATGAGAAACTCAGTAGTGTATCCAGCCAACAAAATCCCCATTGATCTCTCCTTATGGAGATGATCACCTTAGGCCGAACCACCAACTCCGCCATTGAGAAAATCTAAGCCCAGTGAAATTGGAGCCCAGTGAAATTGGCATATAAGTTGATCATAACTAGAAATATAATATTGTTAACATAACCCATTGATCAGCATCTAAGATACCATCAACGATGTGAATATATATATATATATACCATCATCATTTCAAAAAATCATACACCCTCCGGTAAACGTTTACATTTTGCGACATTGAAGCCATGGCCCATAGAAATTTAGTTTTTCTGACTACCCATGAAACATGGTGGATCTTTCCATCGCTTTTTGTATATAAATCACCATATTTTCCCATGGTTTTCCCATGGTTTTCCTATGGTTTTCCCATGGTTTTCACCATCAAAATCTCTGGATTCCAAGTGACTGCTGCACCTCATACGCCGCCTGATCCTGGGGCCATGGCCATGGTGCCATGGCCACCATGGTGCCATCGCCAGCGGAGGATAGTGCCAGTGGACTAACGTAAAAACGTAAAGATTAGTACTGGGTTATAGACATAATATATATAGTACCTGTAATATGTTTAAAACCTGTAATATGTTTAATACCTGTAATATGTTAATATGTTTTTAAACATCCTTTAACTATGGTTGATTAGGGGAATATATATATAATAGACTATCGGCAAAATGTGGTTTATAAACCAACATCAATCCACTTACAAAGTGGGATGCACATGCTGAGCCAATGGATTGGTGTTGCAAAAACCAAGCGGAAATGGAGATCTTGGACGTTTGGTGGGTCAATGAAGACGGGTCAGACCCTGGAACCACCCTTGAGCCATCAAAAAATTACCATCCATCTCTGATTATACTACGTGATTTCCATAGATTTCCCTAATATAATGCAACATGTTCACCCATACGCATGGATATCCTTCCTTTTTGATCGACGTATCTCATGGTTTGCTGCGCTTCAACCAGGTGACGACTTGGTGATCACCTAGAAGATCCTACGAAGTTGATTTTTCTTCATGCCAGTGCAACTGTAGATAGATAAACTGATATATAATTACATATACATATGCATATGCATATGCATATACATATATAATTATCCAGTATCCACCATATATGTACATATATATATATATGTAATTATATATCTAGAAGTCGAATCCTTAGTCAAGCTAGGTGTCATACCAAAAAACGTGAACAGATCGACTAGTTCTCCAGTGAAATCCCCCGGCTGCGCTTCGCCGCGTCGCCTTTCTGGGACAAGGCAGTCCCTGGAGCGATGCTCATCGTGTTTTTAAAGAAAAACGAGTTGGGATATAAGCCCTAGAAGTGTCTTCATGATGAAGAATTATGGTTATATATATATAATTATATCTATATATATATATATACATATTCAGCCTGAAGCGGGTACTCCAGTGGTTGGAAGGAGGAAACAAAACAAACTTAAGGTGAGGGAAAATGATCCGTTTTTCCCCCAGGGGTGGCTAGCATTCACCAAACAATCTGCGGAGCAACCTCACGGCTCCCCCTTGCCATGATGATCTAGCCTGTGACCAAAACCAACAAGAAAACTCTACTTGAGGGTGCAGTTCCACCAATAAGTGGGTTACATAACCACAGATGTAAAATCCCAGAGTTATAGCCATGAAAATCACCCCAACTGCTCTGAAAGCCGCAGGAAACACCGAAAAATTGCTCACCTTCAGGAAAGGGCCCTACGATGGTAAGTTGGTTTATGTCACCAGGCTCAGGATTGGATTGAAGGTGGGTATATCTATAATTGAGTGGGGTTCAAAAACCAACAAACATAACTGCAACCTGATGACCCCTAGCATCTCCTAGTTCTAGCTTGGTTTATGAACCCGCCCAACTCATTAGATTCTTTTAACATCACCATAAAAGCCGCCGCCATCCGGGCCATCCGGGCCATCCGGTCCCCGACCTGGGAGTGCATGAAGAGTGGGATCAACGACACAAATGCCAAGAAGAATCTTGCCGCCATATCAGCCTCCTGACTCTGGCTGCTAATCCCCAGATGTCATCGAAGGCGATATAGGGATATTATGGGATATTGATATTGGGAATACAACGGCATATTACATGATATTATGTGTATGTATGTATATATATATATACATATTACATATATATATATATATCTGGTTGGTGGTTGACCTACCCCTCTGAAAAATATGAAAGTCAGTTGGGATTATGACATTCCCAATATATGGAAAGTCATAAAAGTCATGTTCCAAACCACCAACCAGATATATTATAACACTGTAGACATTAATATACACAGCAACACATCTTGGATGTTGTGCACAACTGCGGGGCGGGCCCTGAATTGCTCCCAAATCCTGGATCCTACGATGGTTGCGAAATCCTGCCACGACCGATGGTAGAAAGCCCAACAATATAATGGGCTGGTTGGTGGTGCAATTTCACCATCTTGAAAAATATGAGTTCGTCAATGGGAAGGATGACATCCCATATATGAAATGGAAAATAAAATTCATGTTTGAAACCAGCAACCAGTGGGATAAACAACCTATTAAGTGGTGCAGGATTTCGCTGGCCCATCCACAGTATGTCCCCTTTATCAAACACGGCTTGCTGGTGTCCCCTACATAAAAACACGGCTTGCTGGACACCCGTTTTCGATGATTTTCCCGAATGTCCCAGGCATCCGGAGGCATGCTATCTACCTTATCGCCCCACTTTTTTGAAAACCACCCCCTTGGGGTGCTCTGCCGATCGCAACGTGGACATCCCAAATTTGATGCAAACAGCTCAAGTTGAAACTGCCTCTGACTACATCTGGATGGGCTGAAGTGCACGCCAAACGCGGCAGCTGTTCTTAAAAGATCATGTTTCTATGTTTACTATGTTTACATCAGAACAAGATTGTCGCAGCACCGGGAAAAAAGTGGGAGAACAAAAGGAATGGATTCTTAGCATGCAACCCACAGTGAAGAAATGTTTGCACGTCGTATCTTTACGACATCTTCGGACAAATGGCAACTTATGGATGATCCATTGCCGGTTTGTCAAAAAAACAGAGGCACCAATGGGGTTAGAACGGTTGCTGGTGCTGACACAACCAAACATATATCTGATGAGTTGCTTCAATGCCCATGAAAGATTGGGGATCATCATCATCATCATCATCATCATCATCATCCCATTAGGGTGATTTTAAGAATATTTTTAAGAATATTTGAAAGTATCAACCGTTTTATGAACCAGTATCAACCAGTACCACTTATATCATGTTATATCTATGGTGTATGTTTCATACCGGGAATCTCTTTGTTGCCCTCCGTTTAACTTCCACTTCCACGGTTATACCGCCCATCCCTTTCTCGTCCTCATGCACCGGCGGGGCATGGATGAACCTCGTATGGCGAAGATGGATGGGTCACGAATCATCCCGTCATCAAATGGGTTTGTCTGAAAATAGGGTATATTCCCAATTATAGCCATTTAATAGGGATAATGATCATTAACCATTGGGTTTAGGGGTACACTATTTTCAGACACACCCAAATCTGATCTGACGTTGATCCGAGTAGCACAAGACCCAGCAAGAGATACCAAAGACCGAAGAAGGGGATGCCTGGGCGAAATCGGCCCGGCATGGCATGCCTGGGCACCGAATCCTCTTTGGAGTCAACTTGGGGAATTGCAAAGCTCTTGAGTGATTACCTAGATTATACCTAGATTACCTAGATGCCCTTGCAAAGAAACTGATGAAAGCTTTGAAGATGTCTAGCAGTAGATGTATCAGTTGTGGCATTCGGAATTAACTGGATCTGTAACCAGCTGATCGAAAACATTTTTCTAATTTTCACCAAAACAAATCATCTTATCATTTCATCATTATCATAAATGGTCCACTTCTGGGTTATGTTCCCATTAAATAGGGGATTGTTCAGTTCTATGCTGTTTGATTACCAGAGGGAAATCATTCTCATAATATCTCATTTCATGATAATCACCACCACCATCACTACCACCCTGATCATTACCATCCCCATCATGGGTAAAACTAGCATCCATTGGAGAACATTTACCTGGAGAACATCAATGCTGGAGAAACTCGCCATGAATCACAACCTATACGAATCCATATGCAGCTATACCAAAAAAAATGTCGCGAAAACCAGAATATCAGGGTCTTGAACCATACACATTTAACGAGATTTTAGGACCATTCTTGCTGATACCCCTTGAACGAAATCATCCACTTAAGCGGTGAGGCGGTTTTGGGTCGCAAAAAAAAACAATGACTGTCTCTTCCGCGCATATTTTTTGGGGTGTTCAACAAGCTACCCAGTTTGTAACATCTAGCCATATTCTCAGCGCTTTCTATCACGCAATTCCCAATCAGTGGTTATTTAGGGTTCTTTGGGATACCCAAAATCATATTTGCTACCCAAAAGCTGAACTTTTTAAAGCATAGCCTCTGGTAATCACCAGCAGGCACGGATGGAAATTCCTCCAAAAATGGATGGATTTTCCCGGTCCACTGGATCCCATTGATGACACAACGGTAGATCTGAAAAGTCCCAAGATCTGACGTCCCAACGGCCATCTTCGGTAGGACCACCCGGTGACCAGCTGTGTATTTTGGCGGGTGATAGGTCGCTATGTTTGATAAAAAGGCTGGGCCGGGTGGATTCCTGGGACAAAATATACCCTCTGGTAATTCAACATAACTATGGAAAATCACCATTATTAATGGGAAAATCCACTATAAATGGCCATTTTCAATAGCTATGTTAGTTTACCAGAGGGTATATCGCAAGATCAAAAACTGTACTGTGCCCAGTTGTTGGTTCTAGGATGGTTTTTTTCACTGGCTGAATCGAAACACCTCAATCTTTACCTCGTTTTTCACAACTAGCCTTAAATGTCCCTGCTGCCAGATGTTCTGTTCAAGGTACTCAGAGAAGCCAACCCAAGGTGATGCCCAAAAAACATGTCTTGGTTTATAAACCCAACTAGTTACCATCAATATCTACCCAACTAAGCCAGTGAAATATGACTTCTGAACCAACTTAGCAAACCATCCCCATTTGATGATCCTGGATACCAATCGCATCTTTGAAGCTGTTCTTCACTCGGAGCTCCTTCCTTACGTCAGCGGCTATGGGTCCAGGGTGTGGATCCACATATGTGGGCAAGCCAATAAACCATAATAAACCCACCATGACTGGGGATGGTTTATACAACCCATGCATCGTGATTTCAGGGATGGTTTATTATGTTTATTATTGGGTTTACCGGGTTTACCACATATTGCAAACATAAAGAACAAACTGGATCTCGTGGAAGACAAAGTCAGTCACCCTAGTCCGTCACCCCAAAGGGGTCAGGACCAGAGACACACAAGACCCGGCCACGTTGGACATACCATCCCCTTGGAACAAAGCAGCCTGGGTGGCCCAAAATGGTGGCTGGCCCAAAACGGCCCAAAACGCACATGATTTGGAGTCGTGATTCCACAGATCAGCTAAGACTTTTCTAGACCCTATCATACCCTCTCGACAAGAACAATGCGTGAATGGAAGATTTTTTCTAGTCCATTCACATAGAACATGGACGGCTAACAACTAGAGTGCAGGTCAATGATGCCACAAATGGATACAGAGATAAAAGTACCGCACTTGCGGGTGCACTTCCACTGACTGGCTTATATTTCAGCATAGGGCCTGTAGGGGGTATCCAGGGGTTGTATCCCAACTCACGGAGCTTCAAATCATCATTGATTACCAAGTGTTTTCACCCCTGACCTGCGCCCCCTCAATACCTAAAACCACTCACCTTTTTTCTGGTTGGTAGTTGACCTACCCCTCTGAAAAATATGACTTCGTCAGTTGGGATGATGACATTCCCAATAGATGGGAAAGTCATAAAAGCCATGTTCCAGTTTCCACCAACAAGATTTATTGTTATTCCAATTATTATATAACCATTATTAACCATAGATTTACCATAGATTAACCACCAACCATCCATTTTGAAATGTCTGAGCTCACCAGCCATCCAGTTCTCCACACCATCCACACCCAGCTTCTCTTCGGGCCCGTAGCCATCCCAAGCAGTACCAAAGAGCTCCATCGAATCTATGTGTGTTGTCAGGTGATATTTACCCCATCATGGGCAAGAAATATTAGGAAAACAACACTTGATGTTGGGGAACACAAAGAAATGTGCGATTAACAGCGGTATTTCTCAAAAAATCTCAAAATAAGATATGCTAGCTGATAGCTAACGCGCATTTGTCATACTGTTTCCACTAAACCACCAACCTTTGTGACCAACCTTTGTGACTTCATTGGTGGAGGCAGAGTTCGATTTGTCAAAATGCGATCAAATCGCGATCTTCCATCGCTTCAACATGGATTTCATCATCTAGCTCTCCCAAAACCGGAGTGCTCCAGCACCGATTTTAGGCCACGCAAAACGCTACGCGGATCGCAGCAAGTTCACCGGGATCTTTGAGCCCATCCTACTCCAGACTGGTCATGGAGGATCCGTTCTATGTTTGAACCAATGTTATTTAAGTACGTATTTGTACATATAATTTGTTACATACATATACACATTTTAAACCAGCAGCCAAAAACTGATTTTCAGATTGATTGCTGATGTTGTTGTCCCCCAAAAAACATAGACCCTGTCATTTGGGTTTTGAATACAATTCTCAGGTGGATGAAAACTAGGAAACCACTGGACCAGGATGAGATCTTTATTATTTTTGGGCTGTTCCTTAACCGTCGAAAAAAAAAAAAAATCCGTGAGATCTTACGTGTTATTTACATATCAGGTGATCCCCCTAGAGTCACAAGTATTGTATCATCACCTACCCTCTGGTAAACTAACATAACTATGGAAAATCCCCATTTTTAATGGGAAAATCCACTATAAATGGCAATTTTCAATAGCTATGTTATATTACCAGAGGGTACTAAGGGATAAGAAAAAAAGTCTAAAAAAGGGGATCACCAAAGATCGATGGGGTGAAATCAGCATCAACCTTACTATCTTCGAAAAGGCGAGGCTCCCCAGTGATGTTTGTTCGTTTATATAAGCACCATTAAGAATCAAAAAGTTGTGGGTTAGTGTTTAAACATGTTTAAACCAAAAAAAACAACAAAAAAAAACATATTCGATAGTTACATCCCCTACAACCCCTCTGTCGTCAACCAAGTTCTGTGCGTCAACCTAGCTGTTGCCCTTAACGGAGGCCCCACTTTGTAGGGTTGCAACCCTGCCTGCTTGTTCACTTCCGCCGCTTTCGCTGCGATGAGTTCCTTAGGGATTTGACCAGCAGAATGGTGATTCTATAGGAACCAAAATGGTGGTGACCTGTAAACATTGTCATTCTACCAACAAACATGTGACTAAAATTGATTCTAGCAACAACAAATGCAATTGAATAATATGTGTATGAAATGATGCCCACAGTCATTGTTGTATATATACCCAAAAAATGATATTTGATCAATCATCGTTGGTGAACTTTAGCGTTGTGATTTGACTGACATGCACAAATTTGAATCCGAACCAACAGCAAGGTATAGCTACCAAAATTGATTCCTGATGCATGAATTTTGATGATACTTCGATACTTCAACAGGCTTTTGCTCGTAAGACATGGCTTGATACGGTAGATATTTCATGCGACATCAATCTCTACCTGAATGGAGGAAAAGATCCAAAAGCACCGAAGCACCCTGAGGTGATGTGGACCTTTATGATCCCAATAACCTTCTCGGCTTGTCATTCGCAAGAGATCAACGCCTTCCGTCTTGAATTCAAGCCAAGATTTTTTGGGGCTGCCATTACATTCTCAATATTCTCAATTACCATCTGAGTTTTACAAATCAGTTGCTATGACCATAGTAAGCCATCTCATCTTTTGGGACACAATCACTTGACCCCAAAATTTCCAGGGAAAATTACCCACAAAAAGCTTATGCGTACCGCATACCCACAAAATCATAAAATGGTTCACTCCCAATAGCTCGAAAGTGACATGGGGCCGGTATCGCTTAAGATATCTTAAGATTCTCAACGCCTAATTTGGGACGGTCATTGACAGAAAAAACAAAAAAAAACGACAAATAGGTTGGTCCAAACCTGGTAGCCCAGTTTAAGCCATACATGTTGTTACCCGTGTATTGCCAATCATATATATATATATATGTAATGCATATATATATATATTAAACTATATATATTAAACTATATATATATGTATATTAAACTATATATATGTATATTAAACTATATATATATGTGTGTGTGTTATATATAAACCATCCAATGATGACAGTTTCCAGCATGGCTGTATGGAGGAAAAAAAAACTATTTACCAATAACCTCCCCACGTTTGGATTGGTCAACTCCACAGAGGAATTAAATCACTCCATGCTACATGGTTGATGACAACCCATCTGGAAGATTTTGAACATCACTAACTGGTTGGTGGTTTCAAACCCTTTGAAAAATATGAAAGTCAGTTGGGGTTACTATTCCCAATATATGGAAAAATAAAAAAATGTTCCAAACCACCAACCAGTATGTATCTGTATATCCCCGTTTCAGTTGGGTGATGTGAAGAAAATAGGCCGTGTAACGTTGACCAACCCCTTTTTCAAAAATACCCGGTGCAGCTTCACTAATTTGTGTGGCCTTTTATTTCACCACAGTTGTAGGGGGATACGTCCCAACTTATGGAGGATAGAATCATTTAGAATCCCATAGTTATACTTGTTAATCACGCCTGGCCTGCACCCCCAAGGTTAATGGTTAGTACCATAGCTATTCCCATACTGATTACCATAGTTATACCGAATCATAATCCCAACATGGCAATTCAAAATCCTTGAACTAAATGGATGCTTTAATGGGCAATTCAACTCTAAATGGAGTTTAAAATCCCATAGTAACCATTAGTAACCATTAATAACCTTCTGAATAACCATGAATAAACTATATTAACCAACCATAAATAACCCACATTGACCATTAATGTGGATTAACCAACATTAATGTGGATTAATTAACCAACCATAAATATCCCATAAATAACCAACATTGACCATAAATAACTATGTTAACCCCGTTTTGCATCACGAGTTCCTGCCCAAGTTTCAGCGCTCTCAGGCGACAAGCGCAGCTTGGGCCTCCAGCTCTGTCGCAACCACCGCAAGCGCTGCGCCTGTGGAAAATTTGCTGGAAAAAACCTGTTGAATAACAGTTACCCTCTGGCTATTTAACATAGCCAGGGAAATGGCCCATTTATAGATGGTTTACCTGGGTTTACCTATTAAAAATGATGATTTTCCATGGCTATGTTAAATAACCAGATGGTAAACCAGCAAAATGATCCAAATTGCATGGCTTTATATGGCTTTTTTGGTATGTTCAGCAGCAATTAGCTATAGGAAAAAGCCAACAAACACATGTGGTTTCAATGGAAAATTGGGTCGGCTTGAGTTTGGGATCATTGGTTTGCTCAGAAATGTCATGCTTAACCCACCAAAATGATCTAAATGTAGGCTATTGAAGCATATGCTAGATGTAAATGGTGATATTCAATTGACATTCAACCAATGGTCAGCTGATGCATAATATGCATAATGGAAGATCGAGATAGATCGTGGGCAAATAACTGGTATCAATGTGATAATACTTGCTGAATTAGTGGAAAAGACAGATGAACGATATCTCTTTCGACTATGAATGATATAACATCAATATCTGTTTCAACATAACGTGGCACAGTTGAATTCTTGTTTGGACAATGTGCTGAAACAATCATTCACCAAGCTGAAACAAGTCGATTCCGCCGGATTCCACATATGTCATTGAACACAAGACCCATTTTGAGATCCTTGTAGTGGATGCCATCTGCATTGCCCAATAGATATCAATTCTCTGATATGTGCCAATGACTGTGTGGAGTGTGAACACTATGGCAATACCCGGACATGCCATGCTGATTTTGAACTAAGAAACAGACCGCAAATACATCTCAAATGTTCAGTCACGCAGGACGTATATACATCTAAAGTACCGTGGGTGGTCGCTCAGAATTTTGACCATCTGCCAGATATCTACAGTAACCATCCAAAAACCCAAACCACTTGCAATTCTGCACGTCTGGCAACATCTCAGACTTGGAAGGAACTTTCGGCCCTATGAGAACTTGCCGCATCATCCCACGAATCGTAAGATTATGTAAGATTCGCTATTGTGTCCCTATTGGTATGTCCCCATCTCATGGATTATCCATGGTTATCCCATATATGGCTTTTTCCATCAATACCTATTAATACCATGTTGAGGGGGATGAACATCCATAAATCTCAGCTATATATTTTGATGTGAACTACAGGGGTACAAGGTTTTGGCCTACGGACAACTGGATTAATGTGGGTAAAACAATGTCATAAACCATCCCCCAGTCATCACCATGTTTATAGGTGGTATGGTAACCATTCCCAAATTCGTGGTTTATCACATTGTTTTACATAACTATGGATTTTAAATGAATTTTAATCACCATATATCTTGGGTTCTCACATATATGGCTATTGATCAATACCTATTAATTTCTTATTGAGGGTGAAAATCCATAAATCTCAGCTATTAAATCCATATATTAAATCCATATATCGTGGGTTATCCCATATGTCGCGGGTTACTAAGTTACGATTCGTATGATCCAAGAGGCTCCCCGAGTCCAAGAAATCGCCTCTGCACTTTGCGCCATGGCGCGGAGCGCGAGAGGGTTCGAGAGGCGGCGCCCGTTACAGTAAGTTGATGCGCATCATGTTGGTTAACTATATATGGATTATGGGGAATATAATATGATATAACATGATATAACTATAAATTATATCCCCAAACTCAAAAATTATAGTATGATAATATCTCATGAAATAACATGATTAATAACTATAGTATTCAATTACGATATTTATAAACCAAAAACCAATCACTGGGGGGCGTCACCTTGTACTCATAATTGAATTTAGAACGGTGAACGGTTAATTCAGTGGGTGTATAAATAACAAACATAGTTATGGGTACCCAAACCAAATGGTGCATCTCACCATATGGCCACAGAAATAGTGAGTTTTCCCATTAAAAAAATGGGTGATTTTCCATAGTTTTTTGTATGTTTACCAGAGGGTATGTGATGATTTCAATGCAAAATCGATCCGGGATGATCCGGGTGTCCCGCCAGGGTAGCCAGAGCGGCTCTGAGCTTGGCTGCACGACATCCACAAGTGCACCATATTCATCATGGAGGTCCCTATCAATGGAGTGGTTTCACACGCTTCGCTTTTTTGTTCTTGGGTGCTTCATTTTCACTTTGCTTGCGTTTGTAGATTATGTTCTTCAATTCGGTAATGGCCATGTTCGATGACTAAAAAGTCGTGGCCCTATGGCTCGGTGATTCCACCCTAGCGGCCGCACAATTGGCCCATTCCCAAGGTGACAGAATTCTGCGCAATGGCAGCCTTTGAGAGAAAAAAAACTGGTAGGAAATCAGGTTGAATAGAGTGGAACCACATCCTTTTTTAGGAAAACAAGAAACCTAGGACTCAAACTTCAAGAGCTTTGGAAAATAAGTCGCTGCGTCAATAGGGGGAACCATGAGATATCCACAAGCCACTAAGGAAAACGATGACCATCCATTGGAATTGGGGGCATCAATTTTCAGACCAACCAGCGCCCTGGCCGGCGGCCAAGTGTGCTGAGGCGTCACACCAAGTCACGTGCTCCAAAACGCAGGGGTTCAAGCCTTGGAGGTTTTCGGTTTCCGGGGGAAAGTTGGAAGGAAAAACCCTGGATTTTCTGTGCTCCGAGAAATATGAATCATTACCCACAAAACTGGAGACGTAAACCATACCTGGATGATCTGGGATGGGGCATGTTTCTTGGATGAGCAGTACATGTTTTTTTGCTCCATGTTTTCCGAGGAAAACGTTGGATCCCCGCCTCTATTGGGTCACTTCCCAATTTCGGTGAACTCGTTGATGTTGATTTTGGGCCATGAAACAATACCCAAAAATCCCATTCCAGCAATACTGCTTGGCTAGGACAGATTCCAAAAAAGTTATGGTTTAGTTAGTTTAGTTCATAATCCCCTCCAGGTAGTATGATTATGAAAGGAATAATTTGCTTGATTCCCAATTTCATCAATCCATCAATCCATTATTTCATTTAGAGTTAATCTATGTTAATCTCCTCTTACCATCGTTGATTCCCTATTTCATCAGCAATCAACAATCATAGAATTGGATTATGGGAAAATTTACAGGAAACCCCTATATTTAATGGTAAAAACCATGGTTTCCTGTAAATTTTCCCTTAATCCAATCCAATGAAACAATGGTATTGTTGATCGTTTTTCTCAGGCTCCAACGCCACGCCTGCGGCTGATGAGCTGGAGATCTTAAAAAAAAACATGTTTGTTTTAACCACTGAAAAAAATGTGATTTACCCGCGAAAATCCGTGTTTTAACAAGACATAACAAGACCATACATATATATAACATATATATGATATGTATGTATATATATATGATATATATGATATATATGATATATATATATACGTGATTTGTATGGATTCATGGATTATCCAGGTCGGTTCAGAACTAGGCCAACTCGTTTTTTTTTGCCACGTGGATATATCTATAGTTAGATGGTGGCAGCGAGGCTATAGATCAAAAAGCACGTCCAGGGGACGTTTTTCCTGAGAAGGAACTAACAACAGCCCACAATAACCAAGAAGAACCAACAATGATCAAGAATACAATTAACGAGATATCATGCGTATGAACCAACATGGTGGTTTTTTTGTGATATACAATTAAGCCAACTGTGTGACACAGGTCTGTCTCAAAATTGGGGATTTACCTCTGTATATAATGTATATATATATATATATGGTCATCAAAAACTAGGGAAGCCGATGATAGACCATGATCTTTGTTTTCTACCCACAATTTACCAGTTCCGTCCATGTTTGTTTGAAGGGAATATCATCAACGGCCAACACGCACTATATCAATACTTCAAAGACATTCACAAACCCCAAACAGCCAAAAACAAATGTCTGTTTCTGGCAGTGAATCTGCGAGTTTCCCCGCCATTTCCAGAGTTCGAGGTATTTCAGGTACAGGATCTTTAGGTGGAAGTATTTCTTTAGCAAAACCCTGGTGCTTGTTGGTGAATCCATGTAGATTTGTCTGAACATAGGCTCCTCTGCTCCTCCCAAATGTCCAGTTCGAGGTATACCAGGTATACCCCATAATATGATACACACCCATGGTAAATGTCTGATTTTCTTGTGCCGTCTTTGTTGATTGGCTTCATCATTTATCGCTGTTGACCCCCACAACCCACATAAAATGGTTGGTGTCATCACCATACTTAGGTGGTAAAACCGTCTTTTCAAGCTGAGTAAACTTAGGACTTGTGGGAATCCCTGATTTTCTTGGAGAAATCTCCACACGTTGATAAACATGTCCACCTCTACAAATCAGCTTGTGAAAACACGTTTGCTAGATCTACATTTACTAAGGTACAGGTTGTTTGGCCAAATCACCTAACCTATTTGCAGCTCAGATGATCCAAAATATTGGGAGAAACCCAGAGACTTCTCTTTGGGATTTAATTCATACAGCTCACATCCTGATGTTTCATGATTGAAAACAACATTTTTCCTGGTGGAAACACTTCGGTTGTGCTGGCTCAACTCGCAGCGTTTGTTGGTTTCTTCTTATGGACTGTTGTCGCTTGACGACCCTTAACTAGGGAACCCTAAACCCTAAAGCCTCGTTCTTATGATCTCGTCCGGTTTGTTGCGTGGAGAACTTTAGTGTTGGTAGTTTCTGATCATGGTTCTGCTGCTTAACATTAATGTTTTACTGGTCAATCTTCACTGTTATCATGCTTCCCATCCAGTTTCTGCCTTTCCTTGGTTCAAGCGCCATTTCTTGCTTGTTTCAATATCCGTGATTTCTTGGTTAAAGGAAAAAACATTGAATCCAGGAAATAAAATTACAAAACAAAGACATGTTTCTTGGTTAAAAGCGAACAAACATCCAGGAAAAGAAAAAAGAAAGGCTTCCTCCCAACACGTCCAAGTACTTTTGGGTGAAAAACTGGATGCCTTTTCCCCCAAAAAAGTGGCTATCATTCACCAAGACAATTGCTTGGAGCAACCCTGAATATTGTTGGTTCTATCCCATTAGATCACGTTATATCTCCCTAGAATCATACTAGATCCCATAAAATTCGCATGACCTAGACCACTTCCATTGTTCACTAGTTTCGAATGTTTCAGCCACTGAAACATACCAAAACCAATATATTTCCCCACTGTCCATGATTAATTCATCCATTGATCTACAATAGGTTGGAGCAACCGTTGCAAATTGCTGGTTATCATATTCTATCCATATAAAATCACCATTGAAAAAAACTCATACAATCACCATGGAATCCCATCAAAAACCCTAAACAACCCATTAAATTCTCATTAAATTCCCATTAAAACCATTCATGAGCATTCCATCAAAATCCCTAAACATCCCATTAAAAACCCTTAAAAATCCCATTAACAGCGCATTAAATCCCATTAAACAAAAAAAAACATTAGAGCCCTTCAACATACCATTCTCATCCCCTCAAAAAACCTTAGAACTCCCATAAAATCACCACAAAGTCCTATTAAATCCCATGAAAAATGCCATTATATAAATATCCCACATCCCCGCAAAATTCTTCGAATTCCCAAATCCAACAGGGAGATACCCTCTGGTAGACATACAAAAAACTATGGAAAATCACAATTTTTAATACGTAAATCAACTATAAATGAACCATTTTCCATGTAAATCAACATGTTCCCATGGTTTTCCCACCATTTACCAGAGCGATTCCACTTCCCCACCTTCTCTCGCGCCACTTCCTCCAACAGTGCATGCCACACGGCGCGCAAATTGGGCGGCCGCATGTGCTCCGGCTGGTCCTGTGCAACGAGAAATCCCATGGTAGTTGAATGGAAAATATATCTGTAGGATACAACCATGGTTGAGTGGACCAAGAATATATAGTGTATATATATATATATAGTATATACAACTATGGTAATATATATATATATAGTGTATATATATATGTATGTATATAGTATCTACAAGTATATGGTAGTTGTATATACGTGTATATATAGTGTATATATATATATAGTAAAAAAAATACAAATATATAACAGTATGGTTGAGTGGTTTAGGGTTTTGGGTTTAGGGGATTCATCATGGATAAAGATTCTTCGTTTTGGGGAAGGTGAAATTCAAATTGGCGTTTAAGGTGAATGGGATACATTGAGATATGTGAATGTATATCTATAATAAGGGGTTCCACCATCATGATGTATTCCGTGGGAGATACATTAAGATACAGTAGATAGAATGGGATACAACACCGCACGAACTTCATGTGGATTCAGCACAAGGTGATCGTTACTTCATGGTGTTTTATCATGGTTTATCCACTACCAGTGAAGATCGCACTGACAAAAAATTGGGATTTAGGGTTGATGGGATGCCATGGAAATCATGGGATATGATGTGATACCTTGGATGGGCCAGCGAAATCCTGCACCACCAAAAGGATGGTTGAAACCCTATGAATAATGGGATAAGCTATCTATGATATCATGAAATTTGCTTGGGCGTTTTGCTACTTTTTTATGCGGCACACATTGAGATACATACATGGGATATATAACCAACAACTAATAAACATCTGCAACATAGTGATTTAACCAAGAAAATGATGGTGTAATGGGGATATCATGGAGATAACTATCAACCTATCCACAAGAAGGCGCCATAGATAGCTAAGCTACTTTATAATTCCAATTGTTTTGGTTTATGGTAGATATATCTACAGTTTGAGGAGATTATTGAACCAACTTATAACTGGTAGGCACCATCTAGTAGGGATTTGATGATGGTTGATGGGGACACAGCCAGCAAGAGTTGGTGTAATGGTAAGTTAAGGGTTGATGTATGGTATATTTACCTGCAAAACTGTGCTCTTTGTGGGGAAAAATATGGTATTTATATAAATGTATTAACAAAAAAAAAAAACATGATGCATATATGGGAGTTAAAGTTGGGTTCGAAACGCTGAACCAACTGAACATGGGATATATGTTCGATGATTCTAAATGTGTTCATGAAGAAGCTTTAGGATTTCACCAAGATTGGAAAACTTCGACACCAAAAACTGGGATTGAACCGCCAAAAGCCAAACTGTGAAGCTTCAAAAATTGGGACTTCAATGGATTGATTGATAGTTCTGGGGAAGGATCCTGGGACCAGAGTGACTGAAATTGGGCCTGGGATGTAACCCAAGAGTGTGGTTTGGGCAGAAATGATAGCAGAAATGCCTACGGGATTCGGATCAAACCCTGCTCGTCAGTTGGGATCTCAGTGCCGTTGGCCACAAACTCGGAAACGATTGAAACCAACATGAACTTTAAAATAAATCAAGTACTAATAGTAATAGTATAACGACCATTATAATTGACCAATAAACATATAAATCATGATGGTGATGATGATGATGATGATGATGGTGATGGTGATGATGATGATGATGATGGTGATGATGATGATGATGATAGTATTTGCCATTGAAAAGACATATAGAACCAACCCCCTTTTGTCTGGTGTTGTCCAGTTCCATGTGTCAGGTGATCAGATTTTCTTCAAGGAGATATCATCACCCAAAGCCCAAAACCAGTTGTTTCTTGCGAAAAAAAAATGCAGTAAACATCAGATAAGCAATAAGGACGGCATGGCCAGAGATATATTCTCATGGATGGTAAAATCTTAACCATGGATTGGGTTATCATTTACTTACAAAATAATCAGAAACAATAATGTAAAATAAATACAACCATGGAATAAACAGATAATTCTCGTGCTCAAAAAAGGCAGCGGCCCAATCTTAACCATGGATTTCATCATCTCCCCGGTTTTTCCGGTACATTCGACTTCCAACAGTGCGGCAATCCATTTTTTGTTTGCTTTACATACATGTATTAGTACATGTATATATATATATATATATGTGTGTATGAGTATGTATGTGTATATACATATATTTTATATGTATATATCCCATGTGTGTGTGGTGTGCAAAGACGTTCAAAGATCAATAAATGTCCATGTTCTTTTCCACTACATCATCTATATGAATGTCATGTATCATATCCACCTTTCAACTACATAGTGTGCACATGTACTTAGCGATTAACGATATCCATCTAAATCCACATATACCACATATACCATATCATATTTATGTATCTGGCTAAACAATAATTATTCACTAATATGAGAATAGCCGAAATGGTTGGCCATTTGGGGATGATTCTCCTTACTATCATTCATCCAAATTTCATGTAGTAATGATACCATACAGAATATCATATACTATATACGTGTATATTACATCTAATTACAATATATCATGCTAATTTTATGTAATTCATCCAGGCTCTGACAGGTATCCCATATATACAGTATATATTATAATATATATTTGGGGGGGTTCCATAAATGGGTGTACCCCAATAGCTGGATGGTTTATAAGGGAAAATCCGAAAACAAAATGGATGATTTAGGGGTACCCCCATTTTAGGAAACCTCCATTTATACATTATTACAGCATAGATTGACTTCTCATGTCGACGACTCCCGCACCTCCTCAGCCACTCGATTGGGGATGTGGTGCTGGATCAAGTCCTCCAACGCCGCCAACGCTTAAAACGGATCTGGATCTGGCGTTTTGATCTGATCTAAGCAGCAAAAAAATAAGGATGTCACAGGGATTTCATAGGAATACAATGGAATATTCCATAGGATATGTACATATATGATATCACCAACAATAAGATGGTGATAAACATAACAACCATTGGTGATCTATATACTGTAATAGGGATTAGGGATTAAAAATAATGATAAAATGGGATAGAAGCAACAATGATGGATCATGGCATTCTACTAGGATTCTATGGGTGTTGGAATTAGAACCAACAATGAATAGGGAAACTGTCATTTAACCATCAAGCACAGGGATGTTTAATGGGATTGACAGGGAATTCCATAGGATATACCGATATATACCTAACATCCGTGCGTCTGGATGTGGGGTATACCCACAGTTGTGGCATTGTTCTTGAGGAAATTTCAACCATGTTTTTTCTTGTCATACCTATTTTCAGACAACCGACATACTATACGTATCATTATGACATTTGTACTATGGTTATATTATATCAAGAATGAAAATCCAACCAACAAAATGTGATAGTTGACTAGTAAGTAATACGATAGAATGCAATATACTGTACGAACCCCCGAAAAGACAGAACAGACTCAATTTTGCTTTAGAAGGATTTCCACTTCTTATTTTTCTTTTGGTTGCCATATATCGTTTGACGAGTTTATCAACAAAAGTTTTTTTTAAAAAAAAACTTCTGTGGTATCCCCAACAGCCGCAACGTTTTATTTTTACAAATCTTTCCGAAGCGTGCTGCGAAGCCAAGCGCTGGAAACCCTCTTGAATCTGTTAACCTGACCTGGCCCTCCACCAAAGATTCCCAAAACTTTTTCCGGGACCTTCTCTGCAACCTTCTCCGGGAACCCGTTTTGAACCTGACCTGGCTCTGCACCAACACCACCCAGACCTTCTCCGGAACCTTCTCGGAACCCTGTTGAACCTGACCTGGCTCTGCACCAAAGCCTCCCGGAACCTTCTCCAGAACCTTCTCCTGTTGAACCTGAGCTGGCTCTGCATCAAAGCTTTCCCGACCTTCTCCAGAACCTTCGCCGGATCCCTTTTGAACTTGACCTGGCTCTGCACCAAAGCCTCCCCGACCTTCTCCGAAACCTTCTCCAAAACCTTCTTCAGAACCCTGTTGAACCTGACCCGGCTTTGCACCAAAGCCTCCCAGACCTTCTCTGGAACCTTCTCCGGAACCCTGTTGAACCTGACCTGGCTCTGCACCAAAGCCTCCCCGACCTTCACAAGGGATTTCTGGGGAGCAGGGCCTTTCCAACATCGCCTCCACTTGCTGCTGAGGCAAACTGCTCAGCATCTGCCCAGGATCCCCTAACGTCTGAAAATCCTGCCACCGATGAAAGATGTCAGAGACCATATGCGCAGCAGCTTGATGCTGTGAGTACAGGAGCATCTGACAAGTAGCGTCTCTCTCCTCAGACAGTGACACAGAGGGGAAACATTATCTATCAAAACACTGTAATTTTAAAACTTGATGTGATAGGAGTTATATATATAATATAAGTTGGGATAAGAGCCAACTCCTAAGGTTTTCTGCCTCCTAGATGTAGTAGTTGAATGTAGAATATCTGGTCAGAGATACTGTTAAGATCGTAGCCATCACATGTGATTCACATGTTTTCTATGAATACTATCAACTGCATGCAAGACTCCCATGTGCAGTATTGGGTATGGAGATTTGGTCAAAGTTGTACCAATGTAGCTGGGAGCAGGTCAAGAGTGCTTGGTGATATGGTCAGGATGAAAGCCAAGCTGGTCATAGTTGTGGTTGGGATGGGGGTTGTTCCTTACTGACTCTCATGCACAAAGCTAGGTGTAGACTAGTAGACTAAAGTGTGTTTTAGGATAAATTCCAGTTACAATCTTGAATTGCCCTTATCATCAGAATAAGAATCATCATCGTCATCATCTTCATCAGCATTTCAGCTGGGTAATCATGGAATCGCTCAGCACTTTGCTTGCATAAAGCCAGCTGTGTTTTCCATACAAAAGCCAGAGCATCACAGACAAGTACTGGCCGCAGCTGGCATGGGACGCCCCAGGCGTTGCAGGCAGCAGCAATGATGCCAGACCTACAGCTGGACTTATCTGAACTGCTCACTGTCATGGAACACACCACTGATAGCCGCACCAATTCAATGATTGCATTCAATTCAATGCCTGCGATAGTGAAACCTGAACATGCATTCATCTGAAGCTCATGACACCAAGACACGATACTTCTGCTGAGCCACACCCACTGCAATGGCTGGACAAACAAGCAGCCTGACAAAGCCCGGTGTTGAGCACTCCTTGCCCAAAGCGAGCCAGCAAGGTCCTGACACAGACTGCTGCCCAATGGAAGGACTTCTGCAGCGAGCTGACATAGTCATAGTCCATGGCTGCAAAGTGATAATAAATGCCAGACACAAAAGATCAGACACAAGGCAGCCTGATGCATGAAATCTGCCAGACATGCTGTATTACACCATGGCCTGTGTTTTGGTCATTCCATGCAACTCCTTTGACAAGCATTTGCATGTGTGAAATTCATTCAATTCATGTCACAAAGATCCAATCTACTCTACTGCAAGCTTGCATGACAACAACATTGTTTGCACAATAAATATGTGTTTATTCATCCATGTGTTTATAACTTGGCTGTGTCATGTCAGTTCGAAATTTGAAAGTTCACTTGATCAAATTGTTGCAGTTTGATAGTGCTGCAAGTGACTCAGAATGCAGACTGCTTGCACTGCTTCGCCCTGCCCCCATCACAACAAACTTCACATAACAGAACATCCTCCTGCTCCTGTTGAACCTGACTTGGCTTTGCACCAAGGCTTTCTGGAACCTTCTCCAGAACATTCTCCGGAACCCTGTTGAACTTGACCTGGCTCTGCACCAAAGCCTCCCAGACCTTCTCCGGAACCTTCTCCAGAACCTTCACCTGAACCCTGTTGAACCTGACTTGGCTTTGCACCCAGGCTTCCTGGAAATCTCTCCCGAACCTTCTCCGGAACCCTGTTGAACCTGACCTGGCTCTGCACCAAAAGCCTCCCCGACCTTCTCCGGAACCTTCTCCAGAACCTTCTCCGGAATGCTGCTGAACCTGACTTGGCTTTGCACCAAGGCTTCCTGGAACCTTCTCCGGAACCTTCTCCGGAACCCTGTTGAACCTGACCTGGCTCTGCACCAAAGCCTCCCCGACCTTCTCCAGGACCTTCTCCTGAACCCTGTTGAACCTCACCTGGCTCTGCACCAAAGCCTCCCAGACCTTCTCCGGAATCTTCTCCCGAACCTTCTCCGGAACCCTGTTGAACCTGACCTGGCTCTGCACCAGAGCCCCGACCTTCTCCGGAACCTTAACCAAAACCTTCTTCAGAACCCTGTTGAACCTGACCCGGCTTTGCACCAAAGCCTCCCAGACCTTCTCCGGAACTTTCTCCAGAACCTCCTCCGGAACCCTGTTGAACCTGACTTGGCTTTGCACCAAGGCTTCCTGGAACCTTCTCCAGAACATTCTCCGGAACCCTGTTGAACCTGACCTGGCTCTGCACCAAAGCCTCCCAGACCTTCTCCGGAACCTTCTCCAGAACCTCCTCCGGAACCCTGTTGAATGTGACCTGGCTCTGCAAGGAACCTCGTTGAACCTGACCCGGCACCGGCACCAGTGCACACCGGAGCTATTCTGGGCTGAAGACCCCATTAGCTTATGCTGTTGGGGAAAATAAACAAAAATGGGTTCGTCTTGGTTACACGGCAAGATCCGTTGGTGTTCCGCTGGAGATCTAGTATTCTAAACCAGTGAATTACCCACCCATACATTTTTTTTTACCAAGAAGAGTGTTGTTAAGGAGCGTTTGACAAAATTATTCACCATCTAACTCTTAATTGCCCAGTTGTTAAGGAGTGTTTGACCAGATCAAACAAAAATCGAGACCCACAAGAACACGCCCCTCATTATCCTCATTTCCCTAGTCAATTTCAGCAGCGAACCGCATGGTCTCGTCTTTTGGTGCTAAAAACATCACCGGAACCATCCTCTTCCAAGACCCAGTGGGGCTTCAAACAGAATGGCTTCGAAGGGTTTTTTTCGAAGGCTGCAAAGTTTGGTGGTCAATTTCTTCCCAGCCTGGCATTTTCTAAAGCATCCCTCAGTGAAAGAATAGCTGCATAACTGACTTTTTGGTGGATTTGGGTAGTAGTAAATTTCTGAAAATGGAGCTGAAATTTGGGAAATATCATGAAATATATGGAAATGGAAATCTCATCATACATCATCAAAATGCTTCTGGATCCCATCTTTGTTGCTCAAATCCCCCAAAAAAAACATCAAATCCCAAGACGTCGCCTGAAAGCCTCGATCGTCCTGCTCCATGCCTGACACCTATGCCGAGCACCAGGTGATGAAACCGCTATTGTTAGAATGAGAGTTGTGTGCCATGGTCAAAAGATGGTATATGTGGTATGGTCATCCATCCAACAATGGGAAACCAAACATCTTGTTTTTGTAAATCCCTATTGATGGATTGATATACTGTAATGTTTTCTAAGTTTTGACCATGGCACATAACTTCCGCTAAACGAGCAGTTTGCGAACTTGAAGCCATGGCACATTCACTTCGAAGATTTACCGCTTAAAACTGGTGATTGTCCATAGCTATGTTAGTTTACCAAAGGATATATATATATATATGTATATATATATACCTAGACCCTCCAAGTCCCCGTAAAAATTGGTAAAAGTTGTAGAATGATGAATGATGGTGTGAAATACCAATCTTCCTACCCTCCGGTAAACCAACATTGCTGTCGAAATCCATGTATGTGATTCCCATACGGAAAATTATCTACAAATGGTGGAGTTTCCATATCTATCTTGATTTATTGAAGGGTGTTATATCTATGCATATATATATATATATGTACTTAGACAAATAAAGGGCAAATCCAAAAAGTTGCTGAACAATTGAAAGCTTGAAAAAATATCCGGGATCATCGAACTGTCATCCTGGAAACAAATTTCTATCCTTTTCGGTGGTACTGTATCTTCATATATGTGCATATGTACATATATGCGTATGAATATATACATATCAATTAGCCTAATCTTGGTTACCCCAACCAAAATGTAATTCTTGCAGGATATGATATGCCTCCAAAATCAATCCGCTCTTTAAAAAAAAAACCTTTGCGGCTTCCCACATTTCGGTGTTTACATCCTTGTTTTTGTTGGTTCAAGCCCCCCCCCAACAGATCACACAGTCGTTGACATATCACAACAAGATTTCGGGCCTTCGAAGCGTAGCCCCAAATCCAACCGCTCAAATTGTTTGTTTCTCGATTCACATTGCAAGTTGGGGGTGCAATTTCTCCAACAAGCACATCACACGAGAACCTATTACAGTAATCCCTTCCCGTATACGCTAAACAAAGACCAAACAAAACCTGGCAAGCACTGGATCTATTTGTTTTGGGTCCCTTGTTGAAAATAGTTATATAGCATGATTGTACTGCTTGCATCCCCATAAAATCCCTCGGTGAATCCCTACTAGAGATTCTTTGACCCCAAATCCCATTGACTAACCATTATTAAACCACTTATCACTCTCTCTCTCTCTATATATATATATATGTATTATGTTAGTATAGTATATTATATCATATTATGAAATAAAATATTATATTATATTATAGTATATTATATTATATTATGGTATATTATATATTATAATATATTATATTTTAGTATAGTATATTATATTATATCATATTAAAAAATGTTATCTTATATTACAATATTTTATTCAATAATATTATATAATATTAAATTATATTATATTATATTATATATATATACATTATATACATTATATATATTACATATTATATATTATATATTATGTATAATATATTATATATTATCGATTTTATATTATCTATTATATATTATCGATTTTATATTATCTATTATATATTGTATATTATATTGTATATTATATATTATATATTATATATTATATTTTATATTATATATATATTATATATCATATATTGTGAAGTATATTTTATATTTTATATATTATATATTATATAATATATATACATTATATATATTATAATATATATATATTATATATTATATTATATATTATATATTAAATATAGTATATTATATACTATATATTGAATATTATAAATATATTATATATATATTATTATATATGTATTATATTTATATTATATTATTATTTTATATTTCATATGTGTATTATATATAATATCATATATATTGCTATCATCTACTCCCATGAGCATGTCCAAATATCTGGTCAAATTACTACAACTCACCAATCTGAAAGATTCAGAAATAAGGCCACAATCTGGATAATTCCCCAATCCTAACCATTCACGGTTACCTTAGTCAGGGTTTGCAAGATGATTATTGTTTCTTTGTTGTTGGAGCGGCTGTGTATATTTAATATTTAACTTAAGTCACAAATATGGGGATATATAGATATATTATATATATATGATATGATTGGTTAGGTCTGATACCCTCCAGTGGACTAATAAATATAAAATAAACCGTGAAAGTAAATCATGTCCATGGGGAAACCCATAGATTTCCATACCCTATGTCCCTGTTGATTCTGGCACTCCCAAGGTATCCCTAGATCAGCCATTAACCCACCATAAATCCATATAAATAAATCCCGTACAAGGTGCCTCCCCAAGTTATAATTGTGTTGGGTTATAAACTCCATTGTATTGGTGATTGTGTCTTATATCCCTCGATATCTCGATATCTTTACCATGAGAATGGTAATGCTATTGGCTAAAGGCGGTACCATCTGGTAATTTAACACAGCTATGGAAAATAACAATTTTTGATTGGTAAAACATAGAACTAATGGGCCATCTGTACTCTACCTCTGTTAAATTACCAGAGGGCATATCCTATGTGACTCATATACATATATATATATATTGTAACTATATATATACACTACCATGATATACCATCTCCCAGTCTCTAATATCCTAAATTACTGATACTATGATATCCCATGGTCACTAGTGATAATAGATAACCACTATTGAGTGAGTCTCCCATCACTATTCTAGTAAACCATAGGTTTCTAATCTGGGTAAATTATAATATCACTAAGACTAACCTGAATAATTCGGCCATTTGGGGATGATTCCCCTCATAAACCATGATTCCAGGGTTCGGTCGCGACGTGAGGTCGTTATAATTTACCCAGATTCTAATAATACTATCCGTGATTCATGATAATTTATCATCAGATATCCTAAGTATACCCAGATCAATCATGATACTATATATAATTTGCTCAGATACTAGATTAATACTATGATTCCATATAATATCCCATGTATATCTGTGATAATAGAACCATCTAATCCCATTCTAATATCCTAAGATATCCTAAGTATCCATGATACCCTGTGTTAAACATACAAAAAAACATTGGAAATCACCATTTTTCATAGGGAAATCAACGAATTAAATAGCCATGTTCAATATAAATTATCATTTTCGCATGGTTTTCCCATGGTTTTCCCACCATTTCACATGGTTTTCCCATGGTTTTTCATGGTTTTCCCATGGTTTTCCCACCATTTACCAGAGGGTAATGATACAGAATCTGGTTAATTTTACCATTATGAATCACTGGATACCCAGTGGATTTACCCTCATTCTAATATCCCAAGTATCCATGACTGGTTGGTGGTATACCTACCCCTCTGAAAAATGATGGAGTTCGTCAGTTGGGATGAAATGACATTCCCAATATATGGAAAGTCATAAAAGTCATGTCCCAAACCACCAACCAGATATATTGTTATTCCAATTATTAACCATTATTAACCATAGATTAACCATAGATTACCCATAGATTAACCATAGATTAACCAGGAAAAAATGTTCCAAACCACCAACCAGATGATAAGATCAGTGATTCATTCGAACGAATCCCATGATTCACCTCAGCCGCCGGAAGGAAGCCCCGCAGCGCCCACCAGCGCCGTTGCGAAAGCTCCTGAAGCCGTTGGAAGCCGGAAGCCGGCCACAGAGAAACCGATTGTTGGGACCCAAACCCATCAAAAACCATCAAAAAGCCATGAAAAATGAGATTAATCATGAAAACATTGGATTTAAGCATGAACAAAATCGTGATCTAAGCATCAAAAATGATAATTTGACAATGAAACAATTGGGAACTAACAATGAAAAAATCGGAGTTTGCCAACACAAAATGATATTCTGAAACAAATAGGAATTAACCATCACAAAATGGAACTAACATGATTTAAGCATGAATAAATTGTAATTGTGCGATGAAATGTTGGTTTCGAATATTGTTCTAACTAGTAGAAATGGAGATAGAATGAGGTTTTACGCAACTGCATGTAACTACTTGCAGGTGTTTCTAAACATATGTGCCACGGTTAAGTTAGTTGGCATTTGTACGGGGCCCACCATCATGTATAGGATTCCGAAGATAAATCATGTATGACATCCATCATATACCCATTATTTCCCATGAATAGGGATTCCAATCCATAAGTTCCCCTGAAAATGGTTTGATGACATCCCCCCAATATGGGCACACATATGGCGAATCTTTGCTGCCGGCATCGTGAGTGGGTCGGACTAATGGAATTTAAGTTAATCTTTTCATACGTTGTGTCAGTAAAGAATATAATATATATATATGAATATATAATATAACTATATTTTATATAGATATACAGATATACATGGGATTTGAGTGGGTTATAATACACCCCCTGCAATTCCTGGAATGCACCTTCAAAAATTCTTAGGGACCCAGAAATCATGGGAATCTAGCTTAACCAACAAGAATAAGGATCAATCTTGGATATTACCCTCCGGTAATCAAACCTGGCAATTGGAAATCCCTGGAAAATCATCGAACTAAATAAAGGATGTTGTTTGATTACCGGAGGGTGAGCTGAACCACAGAACGTATTTAGTTCTTTTCTTCTCCCCTTTCCAGCCGAACCTGTTCCCAGCCATCAGAGGTTCCACTCTGCGCAGGGGCGCACCCCACTTGTTTCCAGAAAACCAGCGGGAACCGCGGCATATGATCTGCGAGGTTCTCTTTATTTGTGCACATGTCATATCTTATCCCGGATCCAAATGCATGGCTCATACGCACTCTTGGGGCAGTTCCACTAATAAGTGGGTTATACAACCATAGTTTTAGGGGGCTAATCCGATATTTGCACCCCCAAGTTGGGGTACGCAACTGATTTTTGGGGGGTTCTGAATTCGATCCCCAAAATTTATACATCAGTTGGGTGGCGCGAAGTCCAGATCATGTACATACATTTGTTTGCATCCAGCCCAAAATTGCTACATTGATTCATTGACGGACATCTCAAGATTCAATGTAAGTATTCCAGCTCCTCATACTTTTAAATTTTGTAGCAAGAAACTATGGAAATACTATGCATTACGGTTACGGCATATACATGAATGAAATAAAAAATAAAAATAAATAAATACTATATTATATATATAAATTGTACAGTGCAGACTGGTCCGTCTTGGGGTTCGGTGATTTTTTCCTCCCTCCACAACAGAGATCCTCCACTTGCGCATGCCCAGCAGTGTGCCTCGCCAAAAAATGGAGAATTCAGGGCCAATTCAAGTCAATGTGGGTGTTTCATGAATAAAATGGAAGATGCACTGAAAAGGACCTATTCACCTATTATAGAAGTAAAATTCCATTCAATGGGGGCTCTAATTCCAGTAGAAAAACATGGGGGGTCCATGGATCCTCATCACTTTCTTGATGTTGCAAAGTTGCTAATTAAAATTGACATAATGTTAGTGACATTAATAATCTGAGTTATAATCCCATTCTTTACTAGTTGGCCAATCCCATTAATTCCCAAAGTTGCTGATTCATAGCGTGAAGAACGATATTCCATGGTTTTATTTTGCTGTGAGAAATTGAGGATCTTCACCAGCGACACTTCGAGATATCGACATCGACCAACACGTTTTTTTTTGCAGAAAACATCAACATTTTCCATGATACCCTGAGGCAATCAAACATAGGAATATGGGAACTAATAGGACAATCACCTTCAAACGTTTAGAATCTTGAGTCGCCATAATTGATTTTCGGATGGGTAGCATTTTCCATGAAATTACCAGTCGATTTACAGTCTCAACGCCTGGCTTAAGTTATCCAATTGCCTGATGTTGTAATGAAGACATTTACTGCTAGCATCGTGGCTAAGGAAGGCCAGTTCCTGTTCCTATCATGGGTTAAAGTTCTGCAGCGCCACTCATGTTTTAGGATCGAGGCATACCACATTCAAAAAAAAGATCGGGATGCCCATTTTGGCAGCGCTTCCATGATGGTAATATGGAGCGGAGAATTTGGGACGTCATGACTCCCTTCCCCATAGATCTCATAAATCCCAAAGATCCCGTATAACACTGCTAGTATAGGGCGCAGTAACACCGTTACAAGAATTCATCCAGAAGGATGCCTTAATATGTTTGACCCACTATATGATAGCTACAAGGGTCAACAAAAACTCTATTTTTTTACCTCTTTATCTAGCCATTTCCACCCTTGTATCTTGGGTGTTGGGAGCAACCGTGATAATTGGATGGTTAAATCCCCCGTTTTATTGGTCAACTTCCCATTTATCAGCCAAACTATTGGTGGTTCAATCCCAAGTGTCGATTGTCAAATCTCTATATAAATTGTTCACTGTCAAATTCCGATGTTCCATGGTCAAATCCATTTTTCATGGTGAAATCACAACTCCTGACGGAGAAATCACAATTTCTTTGATGGCTAAATCCATGTTACCCATGATTATCCCATTTGTATCACATTTTTCATCCCATATAATAGCAACTTTTCCTGGTGTTCCATACCCATTTTTCTCCACCTGTCAGATGAGGTTTGTTAGATTTTATGTCAGTTGGTCCTCCGCCTTCTCCTCACCCGCCCTCTCTTGGGCGCCACCTGTGCAACGAAGACACGAAAGTTCAGTCGCATACCAAAAAAAAGAAAAACACAATCTCCTATTTGTCAAGACAAAAGAAATCAGCAGCAAGGCTTGGAGCCTCATTTCTCGCATCTGCGCCCTGCCTCGGGGAAACCCAGACGGAGTCAGCGTCGCAAATTGCTTCGTTTTGCGTTCTCATTGAAAAGAGCTCATTCCCATGACATGAATGAATCAAGAACTCAGCCTCTTTGAGCTTGTGCCGCTGAAACTTTGAGATCCGGACGCGAAGGAGTTCCAGAACGAAACCAATTGCCTGAACACAATTCCGCTATGCGTGCCGTGCACAACATAAGCACTCATCAAAAAAGATCTCAAGCCATATAGGGACGGCCCTGGCAATGCAGCATGGTTCTGTCATCAAAATTCCAACCACTGAGGTTGGGGCTGCACCTTTGGAGAAGGGGCCTGGGCACGCGAGACCAGATTGCCTGATGTACTTTCAAGCTGGAAAAGACTCACACAGCTTAGGTTCTGACACCGTTGCCCTCCTTCGCGTGCTGCTGCTTGTTGCTGTCTGGCAGGTTGCGGCAAGAACTAAGGAACAGCACTAGGGAGGCGTTGCTTTTTTGATTCGGCCCCTTGTTCGACAAAAAATGGCTTGGCTTGTACCGCCAATGCGCCTTAGCAGCATAGACATCAAAGCACCAGGATGAGCATGAAAATCGGATTCAAAAAAAGCTTGGAATCAAATTTAAAGAAGAATTCAATTTGAATTTAATTCCAACGTGTCTGTTCTTCATTTGACCTTCAAGCAGGAATTAAATTCAAATTTAATTCTTGTCATGGACTGCATTGTCTGGAACGTGCCGCGGACTTCTTTTTGGCCAGCCAAAGGGTTCCAAAGCGCCAAAAGCAGATCGAAGATTTTCCCGTGCCTGCAAAGCAAGCCAAGTGATTGTTCTAACCGATGCAAGTCTCTCTCTTACTGGATCCATCCGGTGCAGCCTACAAAAATCAACATACGATTTTGTGCGGGGGTCCGCTTTTCTTGCGGAACTCGGGCTCTCGAACGGGAATTTCAGACCCCCGATTATGCGCATTGACAGCACAGACAGCGAGGCAGGAACACAGAGAGACAGACAGCTGACAGCTGGCTAGCTAAGCAGACGGACAGACAGCCAGCGAAGCAAACCGGTAGATAGAAGACAAACACAAAGACAAAGAGCCAAGCAGCCAGCCAAGCAAACAGACAGACAAACAGAGAAACAGAAAGACAGACAGATTGGCAGAAAGAGTCCAAGACAAAGAGAAACACGGACAGACACAGACACACAAAGATATATGAAGACAGACAGACAGACAGACAGGCAGACAGACAGACAGACAAACAGACAAACAGACAGGCAGGCAGGCAGCCAGACAGACAGAGAGAGAGGCAAAAATGACAGACAGGCAGGCAAGCAGACAGACAGACAGACAGGTAGTCAGACTTTACATGTACAGAGATAGATCAAGTAAAGAAAACAGATCACTCAAAAAATCAGCCGAGAAATAGATACCAAAATCAGCATTGAGAAAGTTTTAATTAGGGAAGACAGATGGGCCGACAAATGAAACGGACTAGTGGACACATCACACAGGCACGTCTGTCACTGAATTCAAGTGGATCGCCAAATCAGAAAGTGTGGGTACTGATTTAAGACAACATGTTTTGACAGCATGTTATGTATTGAGTTTCTTAGCACCTGTCTCTCGGGTGCATATAGTTTCTGAGTTGTAGGATGAGCTTCCACTTGAAGCGCATGTCAAGTCTTTTTTTCAGTGTTGTAATTGGGGAATACGCCACAACGCCTTCACAGTTCTGCCAATTGCTCCTAAGAGCAACCCTTCCCTGTTGGTCTGGAAGGTAAAATCCAACAAACGGTTGGTAAAGCCACCGCCTTTGATGAGACTTTCTACTTGATCCTTCAATGAATATGCAATCAAAACTCGATCTCTTTCGCAAACCAGCCCCTCCTGGAAAACATGCACCTCGTCACCAGGCTGTTCCAAAAACTTTTTAAAATCCCCCAAGCACGAAACGTTGACCGCATTTTTCTTCGGATTGCTTGGGTCTGCGATTTTTCAGCATAAAAATTTCTGGCCGTTCATCTGGTGGGACGCCATCCTCTCTCATTTTCTTCAAAGTTTGTCCAGGCGTCAGCCTCTGACCGTACGTGTCTGCATGCAATCGCTTCATACCGTTTGGGTCCCTTTTTTCAGCATGTTCTCCTGTTGTTTCCACGTACAGCATTGTGTCAGCAGTGGCGCTGAAGCACCACATCTTTGTGCATGGTTTGCACAAATTGCATCGACCAATCAGGCAACTCTTACCTGCCACAAAACAAGCTTCAGTTTGGAAGCAGCCTTTACATGGTGAATTCAAACAATATTTTCCTACTTTGCCTAACTTCCTCCAAAAATGAAGTTTCAGCACAGTGGCATCCAACGTAGCATCCACTGACTGATCAACGTGTCCGGAACATTAACACTACCCCACCCCACCCCACCCCAACCCCAACGTAGCAACCACTGCGTGATCAACGTGTCCGGAAGGTTAACACTGCCCCACCCCCCCCACCCCAACCCCAACGTAGCTCCACTGCGTGATCAACGTGCCCGAAACCACTGCCCCACCCCACCCCACCCCAACCCCACCGTAGCATCCACTGCGTGATCCACTTGTCTGCCCCGCCCCAACCTAGCATCCACTGCGTGATCCACTTGTCAAGAACGTTAACACACCCCAACCCAACCCCAACGTAGCATCCACTGCGTGATCAACTTGTCAGGAACGTGAACACTGCGGAATCTAACCCAGTCATAACCAGTCTCCCGTCATGAACCGTGGAATCTGGTGTAGCTGCGAAGAATGAATAAAGCTTTCTGCTTACAGGCCAAAAAAAAAGGCCCCGGCGTGAAAGAAGTAAGGCTTCCTCCAAAAATAAACGTTATACAGCGACTCTGCCAAACTTCCTCCAAAAATGCAAACTGCCGGATCTCGACCCGCGGGGGTCCGCAAATTCGACCCCATCTACCGCCAAAATCTCAAAAAGCGGACCCCCGCACATAGGTGCACCGACCTGCCCCCGGAAAACAGAAATCAACCAACGCCTTCAAAAGTAGTTGCGGTCAGAGTGCTGTGCCTAAAATTCTTTTCACGAAGCCATCTGTGCGCACCCTCGCGCAACGTCTCCTTCTCCAAAAAGGATTCCGTCGCCACATGCACCCATGGCTTCCGTTTCCGACCACGGCGAACTTCTTGGTCCGACATCTCTCAGAAACAAATATAGAAAAAGAATTAAGGATCAGGCACCAGAACACAGCAAAGCCAAAGAATTAAATTCAAATGAAATTCCTTCAGTACGTGCCCAACAGTCCGGTAGCCGGAGAGGGGGAATTAGATTCAGATTTAATTCCAATTGAATTTGATTTCCAGTCTTATTTCAAAGCACCAAAGCATATCGCCACAAAAAAGAAAAGACAACATGAACACAAAGACAAGTATCACGCAAGCAAAAGCTGAGGAGCGGACGCCACCTTGGTCCATGAAGCTGGCTAGGGACGGTGCGCGGCAGAAGCCTTTCCCCAAACCTAGCACA